AATGCCTGAAAATATTTTATAATATATAAAAACAACCGACGATCTGGTCAAGATCGCGGGAAGGCATTGGATGCGAGCAGCGCATATATCTTTGGGGGAGGCCTATGTCCAGCAGTGGACGTCTTCCGGGCTGCGATGATGATGATGAAAAGCAATCGATTTGTTTGTATATATTTTATACACTGCTACACTGTTCATTCGCATTTCGATAAAACTTGGCAACATTTTGCGTTACTGTAGATTAAACGACGTACATACATATGCAGCTAATGTGTATATATATACATATTAACTGACCCCGCAAACTTTGTTTTGTCGTATAATACTAATATCGCTATTAAAAAATAGGGGTTGATAGTGGAAGGGTGAATTTTTCATTGTAATCATAACAAAATATTTTTTCAATGGACCACCCTTAACGATTAGGGGTATGTAAAATATCTCTAATTACGTTTACATCCTATTCTCAGACCTACTGAATATACGCACAAAATTTCATAAGCTTCGGTCAAGCCATTTCGGAAGAGATTTTTTAAAAACACGAAAATTTTATAGTTAGTTACAATATGTAGTCGTATGTAGACTACATTAAAAGCAACTGGCAATATTATAAAGAACACTTAACAACTTGTTAAGTTGGGTTAAAAATGACTTGTATCCAAAGCTGTATAACATATTAATATAAAAAAACACTTTAGCAATTACAAACAATATATGCAACATTTAAAGTTGAAAATAAATTTACAGTAAAGTAATATACTTAAATTAAATATAAGTAATAGTGAGCTATATCAGATTCTCTAGGTATCCGTCTGTATGTTTAATAGTTATATTCCTGACCATTAAAAAATCATCACCATACAATTTAATACATTCAATTGTGGGTAACAAAAAACGTCAAAACCCAGTATTGTTAGTCATGGCATTATTTTAACGTTTTTAATATCTTTTATGACGTACTATACGTCAAATTAGGTTATAAATGACGTCAACTTAAACCCTAATAACATATAAAGGGGTACATCATACATAAACTAATACAACTCAATTTCTGTGCTTTTCATACAAACATGTCAGGACTGAAAATTCGACAGATTTATTTCTCCTTGACAATTCATACAGCGCCATCTAGTCCCGAGGTAAGCAGAGCTTGTATTATGGACACTAGACAACTGATATATATATATATCGTTTTTGTAAATAAATATATAAATTTACATTGAAAACACGCAAACCGATACAAAACATCATATTCGTGAATACAAATGTTTGTGCGAAGAATCGAACTCGCGACCATAGGATGTAAAGCACCGAGGCCATTAAATATCTTAATGCAAAGATTTGTACCGTGCGATACTATTCTGTATCCGCGACCATCGGAAGTAGGACGGCGTCGAAGTTACACATGATTTTACATTTACGACGACCTCGGTGGTCTAGCGGTCTAGCACACCGGTTTACGACCGATGGTCGCGGATTCGATTCCTCGCACGAAACGTGCTGAGATTTTTTTTCATGTAGAAACTGTTTTATTGCTTTAATATCCACATGATTACAAGATACTAGTTATATTATACGGCGCTGTCTGAATAGTATACGGGCAATGTTACTAGTTCCTAATATATGCAAAGTTGAAAGGATTTTTAATTGGTTAAAAAAACAAACATAAACCAATATGAGATATAGGTATATATGGTACCTTCAATGTTGTACGTACTTTCAAAATATGATTATATTTAAGACACAGTACATAATTAGACGTTTAAAGACGAAACCTGACATTTTTAATGAAGAATATTGTCAAACACTGGTACATAATTAGCCATTCAGAGAAGATAACCTGACATTTTTAATGGAGAATATTGTCAAACACTGGTACATAATTAGCCATTCAGAGAAGAAAACCTGACATTTTTAATGGAGAATATTGTCAAACACTGGTACATAATTAGCCATTCAGAGAAGAAAACCTGACATTTTTAATGGAGAATATTGTCAAACACTGGTACATAATTAGCCATTCAGAGAAGAAAACCTGACATTTTAAATGGAGAATATTGTCAAACACTGGTACATAATTAGCCATTCAGAGAAGAAAACCTGTCATTTTAAATGGAGAATATTGTCAAACACTGGTACATAATTAGCCATTCAGAGAAGAAAACCTGACATTTTTAATGGAGAATATTGTCAAATACTAAACACAAAATCATTGGCACTGTAATACTCGTTGGCAACTCTACCTCCAATCTCAACATAAAGACGGACACCTTAACATAAAATTAACATAATTTATACATCCTTCAATCCATCCCTGTATAATCTACAAAATTGCATCAATGTCGGCCCCGCACTCGATGCGTTCCGCGTTTTCAACAGGCCCGTATTGAGTCAAACGGTTGTAGCTTGCTCCTCTACAAATCGTGAATTCATATTACTTTAATAGAACTCGAACTTATCTGCCCATATTATAAACTACCTGTGATCGCGACTACGTCCGCGTGGAATTTAAATTTATTTTTCTAAAAGAGCCAAGTTACTCCTTATTACAGCAACTTCCTGCCAAAAAAAGTCCCGTCAAAATCGGTCCAACCATTTCAATGATTAGCCGGAACAAACATACAAACAAAAATTGTAAAAAATGTTATTTTGGTGTATGTACCGTATTTATATTCATATGCATGTAGTAAAAAATGATAATTTCTATATTACAAACAGACACTCCAATTTTATTTATATGTATAGATGTTGGATATTACTCTTGAAGTCATTACATCACATATTTAATTGTTATTTCGGAGTTCTCTGCTCAAACCATTTGACTCAATACATCAACAAGGCGCTTAAACACAGTAGTACGCGCTCATCTGAGCAACACTCAAGTGAGCCGTATTGCTCATTATTGCTCAATAGGCATCTAAAAGCCAAATTAGTTCGAAAAGGCAAGTCCTACCTAGAGAGAGATCTAAACATTTTATTTATAATTATGTACCTTACGCCGTCGAGGTAAGGTGCAAATTTCAATATCTAAGAATTCATACTACTAGAAGTGACACCGGTACAAAAAATTCAAATTATATTTGATTAAAAAATAAAAATAATCAACTATGCAATAATATTTTTTTGTATGTCTTACATACACAAACATATATATAAAAAAAAACAACCTATCATTCAACAATAGAGTGGCAGGACGTATATTATTAAATAACTATCTAATTATCGTTTTTGAAACGTAAAAATAAAAAACAAAATCTTTTATGTCCACAAAATTAATAAATTCATTAAAGTTTTATTTATATTTTTTTCATATCAGTGTTTTAATCGCCATGATTGTTACCATAATTATGATTTTATGTAAACACCGGTAGAGTAAGTACATATATGAAACTCAAACTGATAATTCGCTGTTATTTTTCAATGTTAATTTTTTTATAGAAACTTTTATTTATTTCAATTCTTTTAACCGCAGTTTAACTATACAGCTTCAGCGTACGTTAGGGGAAGGGAAGGATCTCCGTCCCGAGTCTACCCCCCACGGGGGCCGGGGTGAGTCTACCCCCCATGGGGGCCGGGGTGCATGCCTTGAGAGAGGCATCACCCCACCACCAGACCCCCTGGAGGCGCGCGCGTGTGCCCACGCGCGTCCATGAGAAGGTAGGGTGCAAGTCATAGCACCCTAACCAGAGAGAGGGGGCCTGTCCTACAACACCTACAGGACAGGCCAAGCCGCCGAAGTCTGGGTTGAGTGCCAAGTACGAACCCCGGACTCCGGCCCACGGCACCTCGAGGTATACCGTGTGGTTTTTTAGTGGGTACGAGTCCCACACACCACCTCGCCATCCCTCCGGCGGGGTGACGGTCTTGTTGAAGATTTTTCCACACGTTAAAAAAAAGAGGAAGGGAAGTACAACATGAATATTACAATTATAAAGGTGATTTTAACAAAATATTACTTTCTAGTTAATGCATTGATTTTTAAATAAGATATTTGTGATTCCAGCATCAGTCGTTTAGGCTGTGTGGTGTATATCAGTCAATCAGTCACGATTCTTTAAGTATATAAATTATTTGCCACATTAAACTAAAGTTTAACCCAACGTTCATATATCACAAACGAACACACGGAGATTCTTAATGTTGTCACTTCTAGTAGCACAACCTCCCCGTTACGTTACCAGCCATTACCACACTTATTTGTAGAGAAATAAGAATTAAAATAGCTTAACACCTCCATTATGGTACAATCACATTGTTCAAAGGCGTATATGAACCAAAATTATATACAACATGAAATATATTACTATGATAACATTTTGTAATTTAGTATATGTTGGTATATATTTGGCTCAACACGACCTGACCAAACTATATAAAATATGAACTAACATGTACTATATTACTATATTTTATAATTGTTTTGTATATATTGTACATTAAATGTAATTAAATTTACGTTCGCTCCTTGACTATGTTGAATATTAAAATATAGTCCAAGAGCTCTGTTATTTTTTTATTACTAGCTACTCGCTGGCTTCGCACGTGTGTACATGTATTATATATATAAACCTTCCTCTTAAATCGCTCTATCTATTAAAAAAGCCGCTTCAAAATCCGTTTCGTAGTTTTAAATATTTAAGCATACATAGGGACGGACAGACAGCGACAGCGACTTTATTTTATACTATGTTACAATTCTTGGACACAATACTAAAACTTACAAACTCATTTTAACTACAGCAGTCTTTCGTCACTATCCATCAAATGAAGAAAATACATGTAAGAAAAGGACAAAGCTATTCAATCTAAAATACGCTCTCAAGATATTTGGCGTTATTATAAATAAGAATGTATATTAAGCTCTTAGACTATATTCCAATATAAAGTCCAGGAGACTACGTCCAAAGTCTAAACTTGTAATAGGATATGTTAATTTTAATTTTTTTTAGAAAAAATATATTCATATTTTATATAGTTTATCATAATAATTACGTTCGTAAGGCATATAAATATAGAATATATAAATATATATGTAGCGACTACATAGTACAATATTCTTGCTGCGACTGCACTCGGTGGGTCAGCTCCTATGGATAGGAAAACAGATTTTAATGTATAAAATGATATTATTATTAATATATATCCCTAAAATATGGTCGAGCGCAGTGGTGGCTGGCTCATCCGTCATACTCGTGAACGGGTGCTGCTTGTGTGGACTGGTCTGCTCTAATCACTATGACTTATTTTCTCTTATTAATTGTTTAACCAGTTGTTGTATATCGAATGTTTTTTCTATTTTATTATTTCATTGAATTAGTGCTTATCGGTGGTTTGTATTCACACACTTAAACTTAAATTGTAAGTAAGAATAAATTATTTAAAAGAGAAACACACAAGTTTCTTGCTTATTCTTCTTGTGATGAGACAGCATTCCGAATGAGCGGTAGATTAAAAAAAAACTATTCAAAAGTGCTTCAATGTAAGTTTATTTGAATGAATGATTTTCTATTCTATTCTATTCTGTAGTTAAATGGATTTTAAGATGAATAATTTTATGGTACGAAAATTATTATTGAGTGTTCGAGCACTATCGAAAACACAACTATTGAAAGCCGCCCGGCCGGCTCATTTTCACTTTGCCGTGGGCCTACGATGTCACTGCACGCGTACCTTATTAATTAAATAGTTCCAGGTAACAAATATAACTTCTAGTATTAAATATAATAGTTCAGAATCCACTAATTATTTTATTTACGAGTTATAAACAAACTGAAGGAAAAATCAAGCACATTAAAGACAAAATGGGAGTCCTGTCTTATCAAGGATTGAAGAGTATGATGGAAGATCGTGGAAAGTGGCACGAGCTCCACCGACAAGAGCGTCGCTCTTAAATTATGAATGAATGAATGAATATTTACCTCTCTCGACGTTTCGACTAGGCACGTCCCGTCGAGGGAGATAAATACCAAAATTACAAACAGACTGAACTGTCTGTATTTAATTTATTTGTGTACATAACACTTTTAGTCGTCTGCCAGATTCAAACTCATGACTATCACGAGCTCTTTCTCACCAGAAAACCACTAAGCCAAGACGCTTTTTAATAATTTCCTTTATTATAAAAAAACTCACCTATGGCGCAATAGACAGAGGTCGAAAGCGCCTAGTTCTGGCCGCGTTATGGTTGGCGTTGGCCGGCAGCGAGGGCGGCGGCGGGGGCGCGGGGCCTCCGGGGCCCGGGGGGGGCGCGGGGGGCGCGGGGGGCGGCGACCCCGACGACGACGAGCCCCCCGAGGGGGGCGGCGACGACATCAGCAGCGCGGGCACCCCGCGCGACCCACTTCTGCTGCTGACAATTCTAACGTTCAATGTCGTTAGATATTGTTAGAGTTAGTCCTGTTTTATTAACTACGTCTCTAATGCTGCGATTTGAGTAATATTAATATTAATTTAATAATATGTACATTAATTGGCAGTAACAAATATAATACAGAAGAAATCTATATGCTTATAAGTTAGTAATTTATACATAAAATTCAAAATTCAAAAATCATTTATTCATGTAGGACATTTTAGCCGCTTATAAACGTCAAAGTTTTTATATTATAATTTTAATTTATTCCAATTCGGTATATTGATCCAATTGAGAAAAACTAACAAGAAACTCAATTGAATTACTTTTTTTTTTAAAGCCAGTTTATTTACAACGTATATTTATATAGTTGTCTATGTCTAACATTAAATGAAAATCTATTGCCATGCACGTTCGCCATTCAAGTAATCGTTTAGTGCTCAGTAAATATGATTAAACAGAAGTTTGAATTTGAAAAAAAATACTAACAGATTTTTTTAAACCACGATGGAAACTCTTTTGTGTATCTTAAATTTTATCTATGTTTTTACAGCAGATAAAATACCCGGCACAGCGAGATGAAGGGAAGTGATTATAAACATTAAACATATCATTAAGACTGTTATGCCATACAGGGTAGTCAGATTCATTTGTTAACTCTCTACGTTGTGGTACATGTACATACCGATATTTCGCTCGATAGATTTAAAATACAACGTATCAGGGGGCGAGCCTACCCACGGGGGTAGGCCGATTATTAATAGATTATTTTTCATTTGTTACCGGCTAGATTTGAACTCACGACCTCTTGGGCGTAATTCACGGTACCAAACCACTAGGACACGACGCTCTCAGAAAAATGTGTTTCTATATTACTTATACACTAGTTGTTACCCACAGCGCTGCCCGCCGTTTATAACTAGTCACAATTATTTAACAGAAATCAGATAGTTTCAACTCGCGCTTACCTAGTGTGCTGTGGCGGCTGTCTGTGCCGCGGCCTCGCGAACCGTAGGTTCAATTCCCGGGTGGGGTCTGATGAATATTTGTCGTTTGCATTCTGCCGCCGCCGGCGTAACGCTGCGAGTTGACACATTGTTAGATTGAAGGTAATAAATATTAGCAATTAGAATCTATAGAAATCAGAAATAGAACAGAATTTACGTGTTCATTACGTAGGTTTAAATAGTTACGTGGTTCACGTATAATGGAGCCCGTCGAGGGAGTCCAGGGGTCCGTCCCTTGGAGTCTGTCGAGGGGTCTAGGGGTCCTTCCCAGCTCTAACACTCGGCGAGGTGGGCTGCAGTACAGTAGAGTAGAGTAGAGTGGCGGTACGTACCGGGCGTGAGGTCTGCGTCGCCAGGCGCGGGGTCCAGGGGTCCGTCCCCGCTCCAGGAGGCACACTTGGCGAGTCTCGCCTCTCCGAGAGCTATCGGGATGCGAGATGCGCTCGTCGACGATCGCTGTACAAACAATTTATCATTTTGTTGCATAACCTCCCGACGACCCCATAACGGCGGTTAACCTCCCCAGGGGTCCACCCGTTCCGCCCCGACCACACTTTTAAACATACACACGACACCGTCCTCGCCGGCGAATACGATGACCCTAAACTCACCATACCGCGCATTCAACCGGCCGCCTGCGCGCGCCCGGGCGCTCCACACCGGCGCCCCGGTCGCCCCTCCGATCGATCCCCGTCCAATTCAAACGGGGATCGATATTACGACGGCCTGAGCCGAGGTTCGAACCCTATCTCTATCGTCCGGTCAAGCTGTGAAGGCCAGTTGCGGCCAATAATATTAGAGTAGTCCGAAAAAAATGTTGTATAATAATAATTGTGTGTGTCTTTTATTGTTACCCTCAATATAATTTTTTATCAAAAAAGTCAAATATGTAGGGTACTTAAATATAATAACTGTATGTAAGTATGTATGTATCTCAATATTAAAAAAACATGATTCTAAAATGTAAACGTGTTTTAATCAATAATACATTTCAAGTCCCATGCCAAGACGGCCTCGCCGGTGTAGCGGTTTAGCACACCGCGATACTTCCGATGGTCACAGGTTCGATTCATCGCACGGTACAAACATTTGTATTCGTGAGTATCATTGTTTGTATCGTTCTGAGTATTTTCTAAGTATATATTTACAAATCAAATCTATTTATATCAGTTGTCTAGCACCCATAACACAAGTTCTGATTACCTTGGGACTAGATGGCGTTGTGTGAATTGTCCAGATGTATTATTATTATAAAGCTTTGTTTACACGAGTTCTTTATGCGCGAGAAAACCAGCGCCAAAAAAAATGTATATTGCGGGTGAGTGATACTATGTTGTTGGTCGAGACGATGTATATTACAGATGATAATAAACTGAAATATGTACATAAAAATAATCATCTTATATACTAAATAACAATAGGAAATTGTAAGGTGGGGTGACACAGTTTAGACACAGCCGTGCTTAGTACACAATATACAATTTTTTTTTATACTGATTTATATGTGAATGTATTTTAATTTATATTTTAACTTAATTTAATATTAATTTTTGATATTATTTGTATTATTATTATTTTTGTGTGTGTATTTTGTGTCTGTAGTACTGTTAATACGTACAGACGTATTAACATTAATTATAAGAAATCTGTAATACTAACAAAGTGGGCAATTAAGCCTGATAATAAATACATTATTATTATAATATTGAATTTGTCTTACTAGACATTATTAAATGCAATTATTATTTTGATGTATCTAGGTGACTGTGTCCCATATTGGATAATATTCATGGTTAAGTTAATTAAGTTAATAAGTATGCGTAACATAAAGTAAGAGTAACTCACGTCCCGCAAGCTCTGGGAGCCGTCGCCGGCAGCTCCACTGGTCACGTCCCGTTTCACACCCGGACTGCCCCTGTCAACAAAACATACCGTTACTAGCTGTAAAATAAACTCTATCCCCGTTGACATAAGCACAGATTACTATATTAGAACTTGTTAATTTGTCCCCCGTTATCTGTGACAGCACAGACCGCCAGGTCGTAGCGTACGTTCCGTTGTGTTAACTAAAATATTAATTGTGAATTGTGTGGAACAAAGTGAAAATATTACTAAGACTAGTACATGTTAAGGAGCCCAGGAAATCCTAACAGGAGTAAATAGGAAGGATGAGGAAAAAAGCCAGTCAAATATGTCTAGCCTTTTTCCTCACATACAGTATTTTTCCAAATAAAAGTTGTTATACGCCTTCGTCTGCTTTTAAAATTAAATATTAGAATAGAATAGAATCACCTCGTTGGTATAGCGGTCTAGCATACCGTCCGATGGTCGCGGGTTCATTCCTCGCACGGCACAAACATTTGTATTCATGAGTATGATTGTTTGTATCGGTCTGGGTGTTTTCTATGTATAATATGTATGTATTTACGAAAAAAAAATCTATGTATTTGTATCAGTTGTCTAGTACTCATAACATAAACTTTAGCTAGCTTAACTTGGGTCTAGATGGCGCTGTGTGAATTGTCCTGAGATTATTATTACTATTATTATTGTTTATGACATTGTAGTATATGTGGGACAGAGAAGGAAGCATTATGTCGTCTGTTGCGCACACTGCTGGCGTCATGTGGGCATTACGCATTATATTATATACGGCAGCAGGTATCACTCACCTGTCTTGAATGGCGTCTAGTCTCGTTCTCTCAACTGCTGGACTCTGACTCTTCTCCCCACCACTCCGAGTTGAGGAACTGCACATTGTTTTATAATTACAAGACGTTGATACATCATTACATAATATAAAACAAAGTCGCTGTCGCTGTCTGTCCCTATGTCTGCTTAAATCTTTAAAAGTACGCAACGGATTTTGCAGTGGTTGTATTTAATAGATAGAGTGATTCTAGAGGAAGGTTTATATATATAATACACTAGCTTTTGCCCGCGGCTTCGCTCGCGTTAATTTATCCCCTTAGGGGTGGAATTTATCAAAATCCTTTCTTAAGGGATACCTACATCATAGTAGCTTTATGCATGCAAAGTCTCAGCCTGAACGGTTTAAAATTGACAAAGTTTCATGCAAACTTTCAACCCCTATTTTATCCCCTTGGGGGTAGAATTAACCAAAATCCTTTGCCTACGTCATAACATCTACCTACATGCCAAATTTCAGCCCGATCCGTCCAGTGGTTTGGGCTGTGCGTTGATAGATCACTGTGTCAGTCAGTCACCTTTGAGTTATATATACATATATATAAATGTGTTTACTGAGATAGAAAAGAAGATATAATAATATTTATCTATCTATTTGTATACAGGATTAGTCTTATAAACTATAGTCTGTTTTTTTAATCCTGAAGCCTAAATTGACAGGTGTAAATGTCAAATTTTCAAATAATGTTACCACCTACAGCGGGGTAGTGGTGTACCTGCGATACCGATTTGTTTAATCGGAATCTTTTATTTTAACATATTAGTTTTAATGCTTTAAATGACATTTACACAACATTTTTTTTAATTAACGTACATATATTAGTGTTTCCATTACTGTTTTCGTATTACACAGCATAAAAATACATTTTTGTCGTTTCCGTACAAATAGTAATTTTTACAGTATTAGGTTACAATACAAAATTTTTCTTTCAAACGGCTAAACATTTTGAATAAGTATTTGTTTTATGATATATAACACTATAAAAAGTAATTTCTTTTATAAAAAAAAAAAGTTAGGTCATTATTTTATCTAAAAAAATTATTTTCATACAACAAAATTTATAAAAAATTGTGTTAAAGCTCTAGAAGTATTTTGTATTAAAAAATGAAACGACGTTGTGTCTTCACGGTATATTGATATTAACAAACGGTGGCCGGCCGGCACACACATATTAATGTTATAGACCAACCAACCTATACATTATTAATGCGTTTTAAATAAGCACCCACACGCTATTTCTGAATCATCTATAAAAAATGGGTAATTAATATTAATTTCCGATAGTGCCACAACCCTATTTAGACAATGTAAAAGCCTGGCAACATTGGATACATCAAATTTGTCTCCGGGTATAAAAAACCATATAACAAGCCGTAAGGCAGATCGTATTAATAGAAATGAGTTTATCAAACGTCAAATTTGTCTCCGGGTATAAAAAACCATATAACAAGCCGTAAGGCAGATCGTATTAATAGAAATGAGTTTATCAAACGTCAAATTTGTCTCCGGGTATAAAAAACCATATAACAAGCCGTAAGGCAGATCGTATTAATAGAAATGAGTTTATCAAACGTCAAATTTGTCTCCGGGTATAAAAAACCATATAACAAGCCGTAAGGCAGATCGTATTAATAGAAATGAGTTTATCAAACGTCAAATTTGTCTCCGGGTATAAAAAACCATATAACAAGCCGTAAGGCAGATCGTATTAATAGAAATGAGTTTATCAAACGTCAAATTTGTCTCCGGGATAAAAAAATATAACAAGCCGTATATAACAAGCCGTCAAATTTGTCTCCGCAAAAAACCATATGACAAGCCGTAAGGTATTAATAGAAATGAGTTTATCAAACGTCAAATTTGTCTCCGGGTATAAAAAACCATATAACAAGCCGTAAGGCAGATCGTATTAATAGAAATGAGTTTATCAAACGTCAAATTTATCTCCGGGATTAAAAAACCATATGACAAGCCGTAAGGCAGATCGTATTAATAGAAATGAGTTTATCTAACGTCAAATTTGTCTCCGGGTATAAAAAACCATATAACAAGCCGGAAGAGTGTGATATTATTATTAGTAATGAGTTGACCAAAGACAAAAAGAGGTTCCGCTTGTCTACATTTATTTATTTTGCCGGTTCGCGCGCGAAAGTGTTAAAGTGACTGAATCGAATAAACGTACAGTGGAACTTACCGTTTATCTCTTTGGTGTTCCGTAGCGTCGTAATATACGGATGCCTCTTCATGATTCAACCGGATTGGCTCCCCACCGCTCACCACAGAATGGATTTTTACTATAACAAAAAATTAATCAACATTACTTTTCATACAAAATATCAGGGAATCTGGAATCCAGTGATTGGTTTAATTAAACAAAAACATAAAACGCTATCGAAAAGTGTATTAAATGTACGTGAAGATACTGTGAGTACAGTTTGCCGAGATGAATATCGAGCGAGTTCCAGTAGTAGCAACAAACGAAGACGTGTGAAGGTAGACGCATATGTCTGCCCATAAAAAGATTTCATTTTCCATCTACCCGCTGCTCTTCAGTTTACCCGTGATCATGGTGGTTGAAACACTGCCGAAATATCGGGAACTCAGCAAATAAATATAAAACGTGGTAAGATCCCGTGATTTTTACTAATTATACGTATAAATAATGACCGCTTCAAGTTTAAAACAGTATATAAAATATACGGATGCGGATATGAAATTATTTCGGATTATCCGTTACTTTCGGATAATTTCGGTTACGGATATTAATTTTTTAAGGAATTTCAAAAGTAAAATACAAATAGCTAATAAAATGGTTACATAACGTGTCTCAATTAGGCTCCGCCCCTATCCGATATTTTCCGAAACGTTTATTTCGGATTCGGTTACGGTTACGGATATTTTATTATATCGGATATCCGATAGTTTTGGTTACGGTTCCGTAGCTCTTTATCATCCCTGCAAAATATTATGATTCGTAGCGAAGAAACGGTACAACCATATGCTTATCTTTAAAACTACGCAACGGATTTTCAAGCGGTATCTTTTAATAGATAGAGTGATTCAAGAGGAAGGTTTATATATATAATTCATTGTTGTAGTAATAAGAAAAAAGACTTGGTAGAACATAGAAAATATATTAAATAATAGAGAACTAACATATTGACAACAGAAAGAATGAATTGAAGTATCAAAAACAAGAATGTAATATAAAAAAAACTATAAATTCAAATACAAATTTAGAATATAAAATACATATCTGATTAGCCAGTTACAACATTCATGTGCACCCGTGCGAAGCCAGGTTGGGTAGTTAGTAATATTATACACGCGAAAGTTTGTATGTATGGATGGATGTTTGTTACTCTTTCACACAAAAAGTACTCGACGGATTTTGATGAAACTTTACAGTAATATATAACTTATACATCAGAATAACAAATAGGCTATAATTTTAATAGATATTATGTATATAAGTGTGATGCAGACGAAGTTACGAGGGTCAGCTAGTAATCATTATATAGTATAAAACAAAGTCGCTTTTGCTGTCCGTACCTATGTATGCTTAAATCTTTAAAACTACGCAACGGATTTTCAAACGGTATTTTTTAATAGATAGAGTGATTCTAGAATCACTCTATCTATGAAGCTTTATATGTATAATACATCTACACCTGTGCGAAGCCGGGGCGAGTAACTAGTAATATTATAAACGCTGTGTCTGTGAGTATGGGTGGATATTTGTTACTCTTTCACGCAAAAACTACTGAAGGGATTGTGTTGGCTATTAGGCTATAATTTTAAAAGGTATTATGTAAATATAATAAGTGTGATCCAGACGAAAATACGAGGGTCAGCTAGTAATTTAATAACTAAATGGGAGATATAAAGCAAATAAATAAATAAAATAAATATATTTGAGACGCATAAGGTCAATAGGAATCATTGTGGCACTGCACTCACTGGGCCCAACTTTCTGCTGCGTGCTGCTACACCGACCACGACAATGTACCTGTCCCGTCTACATTACGCCACTAAGGAGCAGGACATTGTCGATTATATTCGTACCAAGAGTAACCTGACATTGAGGGTAACGCAGCTGAAGTCGAGTCACAACGCGAGTTTCAAAGCGTTTGTGGCCCTGGTCCCCACCGACTTGCTGGCCACCTTCATGAAAGAGGACTACTGGCCGAAAGGTGTGGTGTATCGGCGCTACCGTGGCAGATTGCCGTCTTCAGTGCCGTGATCACACAGACAATATTATTGTATTAGTTTTTAAATATTATATTATATGTATGTTAGTCTATAAGGTATTTATAATATGGGCCTAGTTGCCTGAAATAAATGAATAAATAAATAATAAGGTAATCAGTACAGACCGGAGTGTCCCGGGGAGGTGGTGTCTGGCGCGCGCACTCGGATCTCGAGCCGGCTGGACACCGTGGCGCCCTCCCCCGCGCCCTCCGCGGGGCCCGCGGGGCCCGGCCCGGGGCTCCCGGGGCCCGGCCCGGGGCCCGCCGCCGCCGCGGGGCCCGGCCCGGCCGGCGGCGACTGGCACGACGACGTCGACAGGCTCTGACGATACACAAATGTTCATTTACTAGTCGCACACCATGCTGTTAGAGGTCTACGTCCAGCAGTGGACTGATGATAATAATAACTCTATTATTATAAATTATATACAAAATTTATCATTACATATGTTCGTACATATGTTCGTATTATCCTTTTGTTCTTGTGAAAATATAACAAATGTTCTGTACTAATGTAAAGGATCTCGTATTTTCCCTCCATTAATTTAGCTCTGAATGTCAAATTTAAAATTAGAGTGTTCTTTTTTTTAAAGTTATATAGTACAATGTAGGAAAATGAGGTTGCAATACTTATAAGTAACAACATCTAACATCTTAGACAACATACATTTTCGTACCTATTTATAAAATGGTCTTAACCGTAACGTTTTATTATCTTTATGTACGCTGTCTTTTGTGTCCCACTGAAAATCAGTTTATATCAATTTATATCTTCTAATCCAAAACTATGAGTAGATCTGGTATTATGTTTCGGATAGAACGTGATTTATAGTAGATCCCTCATCACGTCCACGCAGTACCGCAGTACCGCACCCCGCGCCGTGTGTAGTGCACGTGTACTCACTGGCAGGCTGCGGGCGCGCGCGCGGCGTGCGGGGGAGGGTGCGGGGGAGGTGCGGCGGGCGGCCACGCCCCTCATCACGTCCACGCAGTACCGCAGTACCGCACCCCGCGCCGTGTGTAGTGCACGTGTACTCACTGGCAGGCTGCGGGCGCGCGCGCGGCGTGCGGGGGAGGGTGCGGGGGAGGTGCGGCGGGCGGCCACGCCCCTCATCACGTCCACGCAGTACCGCAGTACCGCACCCCGCGCCGTGTGTAGTGCACGTGTACTCACTGGCAGGCTGCGGGCGCGCGCGCGGCGTGCGGGGGAGGGTGCGGGGGAGGTGCGGCGGGCGGCCACGCCCCTCATCACGTCCACGCAGTACCGCAGTACCGCACCCCGCGCCGTGTGTAGTGCACGTGTACTCACTGGCAGGCTGCGGGCGCGCGCGCGGCGTGCGGGGGAGGGTGCGGGGGAGGTGCGGCGGGCGGCCACGCCCCTCATCACGTCCACGCAGTACCGCAGGGCTCCGCCCGCGCAGCCCGCGCCGTCGAACGAGGCCTGCTGCACCAGCGGCGGACGCAGCTCGCGCACGTGAGATCCTGGACGACACAATCATCAGCTCAGTGACCACGCAAAAGCTTGTAATATTCCGCGCCGTATATATATATATCACTAACATTATATATTATATTCGCGCGCGGCGTAGCACATCGATTATTTGTATTAAACTATGTTTCCCATATTATTATGTATGTGGTTATAAAAAATTTCTAAATATATTTATCAGTTGTCTAGTATCCATAACACAAATTCATCGTAGTTTAGGGCATTACAACGCTATGCAAGTTTAATATCCAGGGTTGTAATTATATATTTTTATTCTTGTATATTCACATATATTCAGAATGAAATCCTGCTCGAAGGACCAAATAATTAAAGGCAGATTTCTGCAGTTATGAATACTACTTGCTGATGTTTAAAAAAGTAGAATCTTATCAATTAACATTAAACTGATACTGAATGTAATAAAAAATATCTCAGTATATTTATCAATTGTCTAGTACCCATAAAAAATGGTGTTATGAAACTAGACAACGCTTATGAATCCAGCTTATAATTATTATTACCATATGTTGATTCTGTTAAATTACGATTTTAATTTAGTTTGGGAGAAATGGAATTTTATATTTGATTTCAAATAATTAACGATGTCTTTTATGAATACTGATGATGTGATGTTTGATAAATCGAAGCATACTGTTTATCAATTAACATTCTGCTATCAAAATGTTAATTGATAAATATAATTTATATATATACATAGAAAACATACAGGAAGTAAGATGGTTTACTAAACTGCGAGGTCACTGAGACCGTTACATATACAGTTAAAAAATTTAATAAATTCAATATTGTCCACTAAGCACTGCCGTATTTAACTGCGTCACCCCACCTTACATTTTCCTATTGACATTTAGTATATAAAATCATTATTTCTATGTACATATTGTCAGTTTATTATCATCTGTAATATATATCGTCTCAACCAACAACATCGTATTTTTACCCCGCAATATCAGACAATCTCACGGAGTGAAGTCGTGCTCGAAGGACCAAAAAATGGCTCGCTCAATACGAGGAATCCCAGTGCCATCGGAAGTAAAATGTTGTGTTAAACTGCGAGCCAATTAAATAATTATATGTAGAGTCAATAAATTAGATAACAGTTTCTCACCGATCGCGGGCAGCGTCCAGCAGCGCGGCAGCAGTGGCTGCAGCTTGGGGTAGGCTTCGATGCCCGGGATGTACAAGCACCGCGCCCGGCGCCGCTCGCGGGGCGCCTCCCGCGACGGGGACTTCTCCGCCGTCGCCGGCTGCGGGGGAAGGGTGAGGAATACTATGTAATTATAGTGTTCATTGGTGAAAGACATACTTCGGCTGAAGACCAACCATAGTGCCTGACATTTTCTGAGCACCGCCCCTTTACATTTTTAACACTTTTAAGATACCGACAATTCCGGTTTTGTATCAAATTACTGCTAGACATAAACAGTTTATAATTTAAAAAAAAACACTAGTGCTTGCGCGACGGTTCGTTTCTCTGCCCTTTACTATGCCGATTGTAATCAAATCAAAATATCTTTATTCATGTAGGTCTATTACAGACTTATGATATGTCAAATCTACCGTCAGTTCGGAACGATCACGAGATGAGAAGAACTGGCGAGAAACTCAGCTCGTATTCTTTTCAAATATTGCAATTTGGGAGAATACAGTGACCCTGATTGGAGCTGAAATGCATAAGTTGGTTATTAGAGGAATAATTTCCAGAGTAGTACCTGTTGCGTGTGCGTGTGCGTGTGCGTGTGGGTGTGCGTGAGTGCAGCCGAGGCCGGGTGCGCGGGTAGTTGCGTGCGCGCCGCGTGCGAGCAGCTCGACACCACGCTCGTCACACGCGCTCGATGTTCCGGAGACTGCACACACGCACACAGACTTACAATCTAATATTCAATCATATTCCCCACTATTAAAAATTTGTCCGTGAATCACTTATTCAGGGTTCCACTGAAAATCAGCGTCGTGTCTTTTGTCATGGCATAATTAGATTATTACACACATATATATATATGACGCGGTGGCGATGCCCCGCAGTGGTGGATAGGCATTTTTTACTTTATTATTATTATTGGTTTTTTTATTATTATTATTATTTTTTCTTTGTATATAATGATTTCATCTCTAATTTAATTAATTGTTTTTATTTACGTTTATCTTATATAATAATTTATATGCAGCTGTCGGCATCTTTTTTATTGTGTTGAGATGTGTGATGTAATAAATGTAAATGTAAATAAATAAACACGGTAACAATGAACCTGTTGACCTGACCTGAATATCTGCTTAGTACACTACACAAATAATGAAAGTGTAGGATTAGTTCCTGAAATCCTCTAACGAACGGACGGACGTTCAGCGCGTCCGTTCCATAGCTACCGTACCAACGTGACGTAACGTTTCACATCCTTATTGACCCAAACGACCCTATAACGGCAGTTAACGTCCATCCTTACCTATCTCGCTCTCACACACACGACACCGTCCTCGCAGGCAAAGGCGACGACCCCAACCACACCATACCATGCAATCAAGCGGGCGCTCCACACCGGCATCCCTTGTCGCCCCTCCGATCGATCCTCCGTTCAATTCAAACGGAGACCAAAATTATGACGGACTAAGTTGAGGTTCGAACCCCTAGCGGTGCCATAAGACTAAAGTCGTATCCATCAGGCAGGTATTGGCCTTCAGTCGTTCCATAACTCTTTGCATGGGTTTAGAATGTCATCTGCATTGGCTTCCTATCGTACAATGAGCTGTAAAGGCCAGCCGCGGCCAACAGCATTGGAATAGTCCGAAAACAAAAACCAACCTGCCGTCACCGTGTTTGCCATTCCAGTCAATGATGACTTGCTAGTCACACTAAGAACAACACCAGGAATTCTGGGAGCTGGCTGGGAGAGTATTGGTATTCTGTAAGAGTTTTATCAACTCATTTCACTCATCGCTTGTCAAATATAAAGTTCCTAATAAGCTATCGAGTTTGCCTATACAGTGGACCCGCGGTAATCCGGCCCCCCTTGTAATCCGACATTGTCTATTATTTGTTATTGAATATTACTTTGACAATATACTTCAGAGTGCATATACATACATACATATATAACATAGAATCTTATCACTGGATCTGTAATTTGTCGGATTACAAGATACTCTTTTGTAAAAAATTCCGGACTATAAGCAGAGGACCCTTAAGGGGGTCTTCCTATGTGATGGGTTGAAAAAATCGATTTTTTTTTCATAAATTGCTCCCTTAACATGTCTAGAATACGGTAGTAAAGCGATTTTAGAAAATTCGAAGTCGTTTTAAAGATACAGCAGGTAAAAGAAAGAGCGGTTCGGAGCGGTGAGTTGGCAGTTAGAGACCGGGCCTATTGTGTACCGTCGGCTTTATACCTGGCCTCCCTTTTATTAATATATTTGTTTATACAAGTTTAGACACGTTTCTACAGACTTAAACAGAAATTTCTATTGTTATAATATTTTACCGAAGTTATTTTAGTCTATCCAAGAAAGTTATCCAAGAAATTACAAAATTCTACGGATTAGCAATTCGACGCCATCCAGATTCGCTTGAAGATATGAGAAAGGAAGTTTGGGCAACGTACTATCACAAATGTTCTTCTGATGAAAACCCTCAGCATCAATTTTGTCCAGAAGGCGAAGACAGTTGGTGTAAATGGCGTAAGGCTGAAGCTAATAATGAACTGGACCAATTTCATCACGATAAACCACCTCTAATTCCGCAAGTCCAAGAAGCTATCAAACCGGTTTTCGAAGATTTATCGAAAGACGAATTATTAATTCGTTGTTTAGGAGCAGAGACACAAAACAATAACGAATCTTTGAATTCTTTGATTTGGACTTTCGCTCCTAAACATCTTCATTCTGGTCCCAAAGTTGTTGAAATTGCTAGCTACTTAGCAGTTATTATCTTTAATGAAGGTTTTCAAGGTATTTTAAAAGTTATGTCGATTATGGGATGCCCTGTTGGTCGTGAAGCCCAAGCGTATGTTGAGAAACGGGATGAAAAGCGAATCTTACGCTCTGAGCGGCGCGTAAGTGATGTCGTTAAACAAGCCAGGATTGACTCAAGAGCTGAACAATCTGCTTTAAAAGAGTTTCACGAGGAAGAGGAAGGAATACTCTATGGACCAGGCATCGCTGATTGAGAGTAAGTTGATATTTTAATAGTTTTTAACGGACTTGAAACTTTAAACGCGTTTTTCTCAAAACTGTGTTTTTCAAACTTTCCTCCATTGTATCTCAGAAACGGCTGGACCGAATTACTTGAAATTTAAAGGGCACACTCAATATATGTAAACGCATGGAATGAACTATTATCAATCGAAAATTTTCAAAACTTCGATTTTTTTATAGCAAAAAACAAAAAAACAAACGCCTAATTTGCAACTTTTATTTCAAATGTCTATCAAAAATCCAATTTTTTTTATATTCATTTGATTATAGGTCATTCCGTGCTTTTAAGCCTACAAATTAAAACGCCGTTTTTTTTTTTTTTTTCAGATAAGCCGATCAGCTGGAATCGTGGAGGAAGTGGGAGCTCTTTTTTTCGAGGCGGGGGTGTTCAGAGCGCTGTAACTCTAGTTTGACTGAATATTTTTAGCTGAAATTTTATATTTATACTGTCCAAATATGTGTTAATAAATGATAAAAAACTTGAAGCTCTAAATATTTACTGGTCGTAGAAAAAAAATCCTAAAATATCCCTAAAAAACAGGCCGTCACATAGGAAGACCCCCTTAAGCAGCACTCTATAATCCGACAAATTCGATAGTCCGACACTGCCCTGCAAAATGATTGTCGGACTACCGGGGGTCCACTGTATTTCTAAAAAACTTCAATAGTGCCTGTTTTCCTCCACCCCGCTCTCGAGCGGGTGGCGCTGCAGTCGCTGTCGAGTTTTACAGTAAACCAACGTACAATCTCCGCTTTCGTATTCCTAAGTAATGCTTACAGAAAAGCTCTACAGCTCGGCTCGTTTAAATACGAGGCTAAAAGCCGAAAACTGAGTCTAATGTCCATTTACAATTACCTGTAGCTGCTCCTGTTTCCACTCATTGTCCGTTGTCTCTTCCGAGTCATCGAACTGCGACTTCCACAGCGATACCAAAGTTAATGCACCGCCCTTTGTCACCTGCAAATACAATATTTACATTTCAGTTTACATTCATCCTGCTCAATAATGCTGGACAATGTTTATTAGAAAGAGTATTATTCTGTACTGAGGGTTTTTTAAATGTATGATAATGGAATTGTGCACCAGCCTAACGGTTTACGCTGGCGGGCCACCAGTGGACGATGATAAGATCGGCATGAGGTCAGGTCGGTTAGCACATCGTGGTAAATTCACAAGGAATTCATCACGATGGCTTCCAGGGGGAACCGCGTGGATCTCAACTTGTCATTTTTTTATAAATGTGTGAAAATTTTGGCCGTCACTTCAAGCAGGAGACCATAGGTAATATCACATTTTGAGGGTCATGAGGTGACTTATTTTGCCATTTGAATTCAGAATGGTGTACCAGTGGAGGATGATAATATGAGGACGAAGTTAGGTTAAACTCTACGTAGCGAATTCGCCTATTACGAGACTCTTCGTAGCGAATTCGCCTATTATGAGAACGAAGTAAGGACAATTAGGCCTTCGTAGCGAATCCTCCGCGATTTAACCATTGTTGTTTTCAGAAGGGACCGCATGGATGTCGACCTGACTTGGTACATTGCTGGCAATGGGATCCTTAGTCCACATCACTAAATTGAAGGGTAACCTGTAGCACTGCGACCTACATAGATCTATTGTGCTCACCTTTTTTCAAAGTCCGCTACCTAGACCCGTCAGGGACAAGAATTGAAGGATATTCTTAGGAGTGATGGTTTTTATCTCTTCAAGAAAGAGTGTATATTTTCCAAAGGAGATATTTCGATTATGTATAAGTGGACTACAACCACATAGGGTCTGTAGTGGCGTTCCCTCTTCAACGTTGCAGTGTGCAAATTTTTAAGAGTGTAAACTGCGAACTTTAGATAACTTCTTAATGACAAATATACTTCAAAAGATTGTTTCTATTTGTACTAATTTTATAACCGTGATAGTTTAGATGCATGGATGTTTGTTGCTCTTTTATGTAAAAACTACTAGACTTTCACCAGTGGCACTCAATGAGGAAGTAGCCATTATTATTGCTAAAAGTTGCATATAGATGGCGTGATTGGTATCGATGGAATTCTTCATAGTTTTGCAAACGTTTTAAAAAACAAAACTGTGTTTTCAAAAATGTTTAATCAATTTTTAAAAAGTTATATATACATGTTAAAATGAAATAATGCGTTTAGAAAAGTAATTTTCATATATTTACTCATTTTGTTATTTTCCAGTACTTAATTACACTTTAATCAGTGCTAATATGGGGCTTAATGTTTTCAAAATGCTTTCATAGATGGCATTGTCGTCATTTGTATCGGCCTAATTAAATGTCTTTTTTATATTTTCCAATAATAAGCACTTAATATATTATTATTGTAAATTAAACATATAATTTTTTTTTAAGTAAATTAAAAATAGCCGAACAAGCAAGTAATACTATTTCCAATAATACTTATGTATGAAGTGTTGTCATATTAAAAATAAATACATGTATTATCGATTTTTTTGAATAATCGATAACAGGATTTTATTACAGCGCATTATTCGATGATGCTTTTAATGAGTCGTTGTGAACAGTAAATTTTCATTATTTTGTATTATAGCAGTGTTCCGTTTCAAAGAACGGAATATAGTAGTACATTATTAGTGTCGTTGGTTATTTACATTTGTACTGAAAAATCGATTACATAATAATTTAAAATATCGAGTACGAATCGTAGCTGTCTTCGAATACTGGCAACTGGTAAGATTAAAATATTTTTAAAAAAAATAGAGAAATCGACCCTAACTCGAATACCATAAAGTTGATTTTCCTTTCTCATTAATATCATAGCAGTTTGTTTTTAACTTGCGTATGACTCTGTGGTATGATGTTTAACGTGTATTGTTATTGTACGGTGCATACATTTCAAAAATTATATTTTAATGTAGGTACATACATTTCATACATGTCAAAAATTATCTTCTAATGTAGGTACATACATACATTTCTTTCATACATTTCAAAAATGAACTTTTTATGTAGGTACATACATTTCTTTCATACATCTCATACATTTCAAAAATTATCTTTTAATGTAGGTACATACATTACTTTCATACATTTCAAAAATTATATTTTAATGTAGGTACATACATTTTATACATGTCAAAAATTATCTTCTAATGTAGGTACATACATTTCTTTCATACATTTCAAAAATGAACTTTTTATGTAGGTACATACATTTCATACATGTCAAAAATTATCTTTTAATGTAGGTACATACATTACTTTCATACATTTCAAAAATTATATTTTAATGTAGGTACATACATTTCTTTCATACATTTCATACATTCCAAAAATTTCATACATTTCAAAAATTATCTTTTAATGTAGGTCCTTACATTTCATACATTTCAAAAATTTCATACAATACATTTCTTTCATACATTTCAAAAATTATCTTTTAATGTAGGTACATACATTTCACACATTTCAAAAATTTCATACAATACGTTTCTTTCATACATTTCAAAAATTATCTTTTAATGTAGGTACATACATTTCATACATTTCAAAAAGTATCTTTTAATGTAGCTACATAACACCCCATGTCAGACCCCTTATATTTGGAAGAAACTTAAAAATAATGCCAAAAATATTAGATGAATATATTTTAATACGAATATTGTTTTATTTTTGTTCATCAACTTTATCCCTCACTAACAATACTAGTAGTAGTACATAACCTGGTTTATACCGCTAAAGATATTGAAAGATATACGAGTAATTCAGAATGTTATCAACTTCAAAATAAGCACACATTACTTGCTTAGATAACAGAGTAATATTACTCGTAATAAAAACATTTGTAACACCCATATGTATACTACGTATGTATAGTAAGTACTTACGCTGCGGCGCCGAAAGACTCGTGTACCTCATCTACTCATCTACGCGTGGTAACCGCGCCGACCGACCAATAGGAGCGCGCCTCTCGTGTTTCCAGAAAGTTCGCGACTAACGGACGTTATAGTAGTAAGGCAATGAGTGTCCCAGTGACATCATTATAATATTTTCTCGTTAAATTTTATTGTAATATACACAATTTCGCACTAAATAACGTGTTACCCCGTTACACATTTCTAATAATGAAAAACCTAGACCGACCCTGTTCACTTAATCTTACAAGATCTGACTTTAAAAATTACGATATCCTCATATAGCCTTTCATTTCCCCTTTCAATACTATTTCGCATTAAAAAGTAGCCTTTCTCAGGGTCTACATTATCTGTCTACCAAATTTCAATTAAATCAGTTCAGTAGTTTTGGCGTGAAAGCGAGACAAACAGACAGACTGAGTTACTTTAGCATTTATAATATTTGTAAAAATATCGCTATTAAAAATAGGGGTTGGTGAAAGACGGGTGAAAATTTAGGCGTGTATGTATTTTCAATGTAACATTATAAATAAATAAAAAATTGTCCATAATACAAAAAAATTTTTTTTTCGGGGTAGGCCAACCCTATGACTTAGGGGTATAAAAATATATAACAACCCTACCTCAGACCTGGCAAGTATACATATCAAATTTCATCAAAATGTGGGAGAAATATGGCAACTAACACTGTGATACAAAATTTATATATAAGATATAGCGGAATTCTCATTAGGTAAAAGAGGGGTACATCGTAGAATACATGAGGTATATACCAGTAAATTAATTGTAGCTAAAATCAGTCTCATACATATAACGATTGAAATAAAAAATCGTATAGCCCGATTTTGATACGTACGAGTATAAACGTATCAAAATCAGGCTATACGTATAGCGCAGACGCGTTACAACATATCAAAAAAATAGGCATGGAATGTAAAATAAACCATAACACAATAGGTATACACATTGGCACATAAGAGAGCAGAGTGTCGGCTAACGATATTATACCTACACATTTACATTGAATCTTGAATCGTCCCTAATGAGGTACACGATACAGTTACCTACATATCTATTATATACATATCTTTGCAAAACAGATGTCATGTAGACTGAATTGACTGCCATCTATTTTCATGCTTTGTTACTAAGCACCCACTAGTAATCCGAACTGCTTCAGATCTAGCGTCATCTAGCGGCTACGGTGGCGAAATAAAATAGCCCGAAGAATAGCCCGAGTTAGGAAGGAACCATTTTCTTGTATGGGATGGGGTATCTGTATGTAATATTATGTTATCTGTGCTTTCACTAAACTTTGCAGTAATATACATACATCAGACTGTTAACCAATATTACTGTATGTTAGGGAAAATACTCTCTGCTACCAAAATGTTAGGGAATTTACTATATATATATATAGGGAAAAATATGTGGAAGCGTCTGTCACGTACCTGTATGGTTCTGCGGATTTCTTGGGCTTCAGGGTCTCGAAGATATCTTCGCTAGCTTTCCAGTTTCACAGTAGGTTTAACTCAGTTCTAATTTATTTTAATTCACAACACAAATGCGCGCGCGTCATGGCCGCCATACGGTCAGTTCAGTACTGGAGGTAAGGGAGGGGAAGAGAAACTAAACGGACTCTAATATAATAATCTGTGCTTACGATGGTACAGGGTAGATTTTGAACACTGTACTATGAAACGCAAACTGAGCGGCCGGATTTTAACATTCATAGATGGTAGTAGGTTGTTTGTATGAACTGTATGAATGAGGTGAGACCGACCTGCTGCAGTGCGGAGACGTTCTCGTCGTCCATGACGGCGAACTGCGTGTAGCTCTGGTCGGCTCGGGCGCGGCCGGCGCGGCGAGTACCTGCAATATCGTAAACATGTTTTCTTACAGACTTGTCTAACGCTGTTGGCCGCAGCTGGCCTTTACAGCTTCGCCGGACGATAGGGGGCGAGAGCAGATGACACTCCAAACCAAAGGACATATGGAGCGGCTGAAGGTCATCTCCTGTCTGACGGATACGACTTTAGTCTGAGAGCAATGCTAGGGGTTCGAACCTCGGCTCAGGCTGTCGTGAACTAGCTACCCATCCCGGCTTCCCACGGGGGAACATGTATTGTATAGGTAAACTATACGGAACACCAATAATCAAGTACAATAATCTTATTAACATTATAAACACGAAAGTTTATAAGTATGGATGGATGTTTGTTACTCTCACACGCAAAAACTGAACGGATTTTCATGAAACTTTACAGAAATATAGCTTATACATCAGAATAACATATAGGCTATAAATTTCACGCGGGTGAAAGCGCACAGCTAGTAATCATATAAATTACTTACGCAGCACATTTAATTTACGGGACGTATCTTTTATTTTATCCTCCCCGAAGATTATCATTATCAACAAGTGTAGGAACAACCACTACATTTTTTTGGTCCTTCGAGCCGGATCGAAGTCACGTACTGAGCACTTGATATTACATACTGATTTGATTTACATAGTGAAATTATATATATGATGTTATATGATTATTATTGTACGATGTACCGCACATAAATCTTCCTCTCGATTCACACTTGAAACTATTATTTAAAAGATATAAACGAACTGACAGCGGCGGTTACTTTTTTTTATATTATGTAAAGATTAAAAGATTAACAAACAAATAGTATGCAAAACAACTGACCTCTCTTGAAATGCGTGTCTGAATGTACACTGTCCACATCTGCGACTATCCTTGGACTTACGGCTTCACCTGGACCACATACAACGATTATTTTTATATGATATATATATAATTTATTCACCTAAACATACACACAAAAGTACAGTCATTGTAAATAATCTTACTAATATTATAGAAGCGAAAGTTTGTATGTATGGAAGTTTGTTACTCTTTCACGCAAAAACTACTGAACGGATATTTATTTTTATTTAAATAACTTTAATGCGACGTGCATTAAAGTTATTTTATACACAGGTAAAAAGTACATATGGCGGACTTAACACCTAATGGCATTTTCTACCAGTCAACCATGAGTTGTGCAGAGATAAGTTGTTGGCGGTGCAAACAATATTATAATATTTTATAGAATATACATGAATAAATATATATATATAGACACATGTAAATACATAAATATTCCTAAAAATATACACAAATATATATATATATATACAAAAATATATATATGATTCGTCTTGTAGTAAAAATGAAGAAACTTAATGCTAAAGAGAAAAATATATAAAAGATAATATATGATAGTATACAAAATTATATGTTAAGACAATGTTTCCGCAATCTTAGCTTGAAAGAAATTTTACTCGCAGCAGTCCTGATGTCAAGGGGTAAGTCGTTCCAAAGTTTGATAGCCTGAACGGCGAAAGAATGATGGACAAAACCGGACAAATGTGCCGGGGCATGAAGTAGAAATCTTCTAGTTGTGCGAAGGGAGCGATTGGTGTTGTCCCCATGGATATTGATGAAAGTTTACAGTAATATAGCTTATGCATCGGAATGACACATCGGCTATTATTTTTATTGAAATTTAACGTGGGTAAAACCGCGGGTACAGGTAGTATGGTACCAAATAAGTGTTACCGGTGGCGGGCGGGTGGTGGTGCGCGAGGTCCTGCACGCAGGTCGGCGGCGCCGTCACCACGCGCAGCCGCGCCAGCGTCGCCCCGCACCCTGCGGACAGACAGACACACACACACACGCGCGCTACCGGCTGCTCGACACTTACAAAACCTACCCTTAATTATGAAGGTAAAGATTTCCAAGCAGTAATGCTCTTTGCGTAGCAGTTTAAAGACAATACACATTTAGACAAATTTTAAGGGCAGGTTACGTTCTGATGGACCAGTGTTTTTATGAATTTATTGGCAGCAAAATTTTCATAATATCAAACAATATATGCTGTTATTGATAATGAATAAAAATAAAAAGAAATCACAACTGCCCGAGCCGAGGTTCGTACAGCGGTGCCCTCAGCTACCTTTCGAAGCTAGTCTAAGATTTTTAACAATTACTACCGGATATTGTCGACATTGTTGATTAAATATAAATAGATATGACATTCAAAGTTAGCCCAAAGTTTAAGGAAGTAAAATAAAATAGATGATGAAAATTTGTAAGTAAATTCTCAATTATGCCTATCTCAGACACCAGCTCCTCACAGCAAATCGATTAAAATAATAAATTTAAGTATTTTACTATAAAAAATACTACATGTATTGTTGCCATTATGTTTGTGAGGAGAAATAAATAAATCATATTATTAAAAAAAAAAAAAATTCGTTATGTTTACGGCAGGGCGGCACGCTCTGTCTCTCGGGCCTCGGGCCGGGACCGCCGCCCGAGTTGTCTCCCGCACTATGTACGGGCAGGTAGTTACCTGGTGCGGGGGGGCGCGGGCGGCAGGGCGGCACGCTCTGTCTCTCGGGCCTCGGGCCGGGACCGCCGCCCGAGTTGTCTCCTGCACTATGTACGGGCAGGTAGTTACCTGGTGCGGGGGGCGCGGGCGGCAGGGCGGCACGCTCTGTCTCTCGGGCCTCGGGCCGGGACCGCCGCCCGAGTTGTCTCCTGCACTATGTACGGGCAGGTAGTTACCTGGTGCGGGGGGGCGCGGGCGGCAGGGCGGCACGCTCTGTCTCTCGGGCCTCGGGCCGGGACCGCCGCCCGAGTTGTCTCCCGCACTATGTACGGGCAGGTAGTTACCTGGTGCGGGGGGGCGCGGGCGGCAGGGCGGCACGCTCTGTCTCTCGGGCCTCGGGCCGGGACCGGCCGCCCGAGTTGTCTCCTGCACTATGTACGGGCAGGTAGTTACCTGGTGCGGGGGGGCGCGGGCGGCAGGGCGGCACGCTCTGTCTCTCGGGCCTCGGGCCGGGACCGCCGCCCGAGTTGTCTCCTGCACTATGTACGGGCAGGTAGTTACCTGGTGCGGGGGGGCGCGGGCGGCAGGGCGGCACGCTCTGTCTCTCGGGCCTCGGGCCGGGACCGCCGCCCGAGTTGTCTCCTGCACTATGTACGGGCAGGTAGTTACCTGGTGCGGGGGGGCGCGGGCGGCAGGGCGGCACGCTCTGTCTCTCGGGCCTCGGGCCGGGACCGCCGCCCGAGTTGTCTCCTGCACTATGTACGGGCAGGTAGTTACCTGGTGCGGGGGGGCGCGGGCGGCAGGGCGGCACGCTCTGTCTCTCGGGCCTCGGGCCGGGACCGCCGCCCGAGTTGTCTCCTGCACTATGTACGGGCAGGTTGTTACCTGGTGCGGGGGGGCGCGGGCGGCAGGGCGGCACGCTCTGTCTCTCGGGCCTCGGGCCGGGACCGCCGCCCGAGTTGTCTCCCGCACTATGTACGGGCAGGTAGTTACCTGGTGCGGGGGGCGCGGGCGGCAGGGCGGCACGCTCTGTCTCTCGGGCCTCGGGCCGGGACCGCCGCCCGAGTTGTCTCCTGCACTATGTACGGGCAGGTAGTTACCTGGTGCGGGGGGGCGCGGGCGGCAGGGCGGCACGCTCTGTCTCTCGGGCCTCGGGCCGGGACCGCCGCCCGAGTTGTCTCCCGCACTATGTACGGGCAGGTAGTTACCTGGTGCGGGGGGGCGCGGGCGGCAGGGCGGCACGCTCTGTCTCTCGGGCCTCGGGCCGGGACCGCCGCCCGAGTTGTCTCCTGCACTATGTACGGGCAGGTAGTTACCTGGTGCGGGGGGGCGCGGGCGGCAGGGCGGCACGCTCTGTCTCTCGGGCCTCGGACCGGGACCGCCGCCCGAGTTGTCTCCTGCACTATGTACGGGCAGGTAGTTACCTGGTGCGGGGGGGCGCGGGCGGCAGGGCGGCACGCTCTGTCTCTCGGGCCTCGGGCCGGGACCGCCGCCCGAGTTGTCTCCTGCACTATGTACGGGCAGGTAGTTACCTGGTGCGGGGGGGCGCGGGCGGCAGGGCGGCACGCTCTGTCTCTCGGGCCTCGGGCGGGACCGCCGCCCGTGTTGTCTCCTGCACTATGTACGGGCAGGTAGTTACCTGGTGCGGGGGGGCGCGGGCGGCAGGGCGGCACGCTCTGTCTCTCGGGCCTCGGACCGGGACCGCCGCCCGAGCTGCTCGCCTCCTGCAAATAACACACACATAAACATACATAGACATATAATAAATACATATATGTATAAGTAAACTGTTATATTAAAAAATTAAAATATCTTTATTCATGTAGGTGTATTACAGACTCTTATGATATGTCAAATCTACCGTCAGTTCGGAATGATTTCGAGATAAGAACTGACAAGAAACTCAGCTCGTATTCTTTTCAAATAAATGTTGTAAATGTTGTAATACAGTCATTTAAATTCAAATTTGGGAGAATCTATACATATAAATAAAATTGGAGTGTCTGTTTGTAATATTGAAATAACCGATTTTTACTACATGCATATGAATATACACCAAAATAACATTTTTTACCATTTTTGTCTGTCTGACTGTCTGTTTGTTCCGGCTCGTCTCTGAAATGGCTAGACTGATTATGACGGGACTTTTTTTGGCAGGTATCTGATGTAATAAGGAGTAAGTTAGACCTCGTTTAGTTTTAGAAAAATGAAGTTAAATTCCACGCGGATGAAATCGCTAGTACAGCTAGTAGTTAATAAAAAAAAATGATTGTTATAAAATTAAAATTATTTTACCTTCGCATGTCTGTCGGGTGAGGGCGCCGGGGTGGTTCTCAGTTCTGACTCTTTGTCCGTTTGTTTGTCTGTTGTTGACTAAAACAATGCACATAATACAACATTAATTCTAATAAAAAAAAACTATATGATGACGGTTTTCGAACAAGCTAATGGTAAATAAGGTGTGGTAAAGGTAATGAGTGTGATGTGTAAGGAGTGTGACAAGCGTGGTACTCACGTATTACTCTATATACGTATAATACTTGTAAGTCTGATGAAAATAGTAAATGTTACGAGTGTGATGTGAAGTGTGAAGAGTGTGACAAGCGTGGTACTCATGTCTTACTTTATGTATGTATAATAATTGTATATTCGATAAAAATAGTCAAAGTAACGAGTGTGATGGGTAGTTGAGGGTGATAAGCGTGACATTCATGTATCATTCTATATATGCGTAATCCTTGTATGACTGATAAAAATAACAATTGTGCCGAGTGTGATGAAAAAGAGTGCGAGCGTGGCGAGCGTGACATCCATGTATCACTCTATATACGTATAATACTTGTAAGTCTGATGTAAATAGTAATTGTGAAGAGTGTAATGTGAAGTGTGAAGAGCATGACAAGCGTGGTACTCACGTATTACTTTTTATATGTATAATAATTGTATATCCGATAAAAATAGTAAATGTGACGAGAGTACGCATAATTTTTATCTTGATAAAAATAACAATTATGCTGAGTGTGATGAGAAAGAGTGGCGAGCGTGGCGAGCGTGACATATGTATTACTCTATATACGTATAATACTTGTATATGTGACGAGTGTTATGTGTAAATTTGGCGAGCGTGGCGAGGCGTGGAACTCACGTTTCACTCTATATACGTATAACACTTGTACGTATTATGAAAATAGTAACTGTCACGAGTGTGATGTATGTGTCGAGCGTGGCGAGCGTGGTACTCACGTATCCGTTGAGGTGGTGGGGGTGGGGGTGCTGGTGCGGGTGCGGGTGCGCGTGGTGGGCGTGGTGGGGGTGGGCGTGGTGGCGCGGCGAGGCGGGCTGGCGCCGCTCCCCTGTGACGGCGGTGGCGGCGGTGACGGCCGTGGCCGCCGTGGCCAGCGTGCCAGCTTCCGTGTCCAGCCGACGACGACTCTGCAGTTCACCAAATATATTATATACTACTTCAGAGATACTCGATTGCAAGTATTCTGTTGCACCTGAGCTTTGGGGATGCGTTGTTTCTCTTTAATATTTGCTGCCGGAGATGTTAAATAATTTCATAAATGAGAAAGTTTACAACTTATTATAATAATAATAAATAAATAAATAAATATAAAAAAATATTCGTAACCGTAACCGAATCCGAAATAAAAGTTTCGGATGATATCGGATAGGATCGGAACGTAATTGAGACACGTTATGTAACCATTTTATTAGCTATTTGTATTTTACTTTTGAAATTCCTTAAAAAATTTATATCCGTAATCGAAATTATCCGAAACTAATAATCCGAAATAATTTCATATCCGCATCTGTATCCGTATCCGGTATAATAATCATTCCTATATCCGAAACCTATCCGTATCAGAAATTTCATATCCATAACATCCTTGGTCAAAACCACATAATGCTTCCCACATTATAATATCTTTACTTCGTTACTAATATTATAAATGCGAAAATAACTATCTATCTGTCTCACTTTCTCGCTAAAACTTCTGAACCAATTTAAATGTAATTCGGTACACAGTCTAGACCCTGAGAAAGGACATAGGCTACTTTTTAATGTGAAAACAGGGTTCTAAAGAGTTGAAAGGGATGCTGAAAAATTGTATGAAAGTATTGATATTCTTAAAACTAGAAGCTTGAAATTTATTTTTAGGCCGTTGATTAAACATAAATAAATATTACATTCAAAGTTTGTAAAAAAATGTTACCCTAAATTGGGTAAAATAAAACAGGGAATGAAATTTTGTATGGAAATTCGTCATTTTTGTAGTTAGAACAATGAAAATTAATAAACAAATAAAAAGCCAAAAGCTTACCCTGCCTATTGCGTAAGGTAGCTGGCACGAAGACAGATAGACAGGGGATAGATATTAATCTATTAGATAGTATTAGATAGATAGACAATAGATGTCAGACACTGCACAGATGTGTATAGTTGTATACTCACATTGTCCGGTTGATTGTCCGTCGCAAGCGCATGCTCTGGCACCGGGTGTACGGACGCTCTCGTGCGCGACACAGACACCGACTGCAACAACACATACACCGTTACACGCCAGGGGAATGACATTCAACTGCAGGGGAATGAGCGGAGACGAACAGGGGAATGATATATGAATGTTTGTTTGTACATTGGTAAATGTGTTATTGTATGAGTGTATTGTGAATGTGGTATAGTTTTAATACTATGATATAAAAATTAATAACATATATATTACACAAAACTACTATAATGTGACATATTCATTCTTGCTAATATAAATGCGTATACCATACTTTGTCTGTTTATTATACAACAAATAACTAAACTTTGGTTTAAATCCTTAATTTTTTCCTTTGTTGCTATACAAAAAACTCGCTAAATTATAAAGTCCTTTTATAGTCCCACATCTTTTTACACTACGATGGTGACAATCAAGCCCTACCTATATGATGGTAAACGGCCCATGGACGCTTGGAACACCAGGGGTATCACGTTCGCGTTGCCGACCCTTAACAGTAGCCAACGATGGTGGTAATTAAGGGCACAATATGTAAAAATAACAGTATATTACAAAATATACTAGCTGTCCCGGCAAACGTTGTTTTGCCATAAAATAAAAAAAAAAATTGGGATGGACTACCCCTAACATTTAGGGGGATGAAAAATAGATGTTGGCCGATTCTCAGATCTACTCAATACGCTCACAAAATTTCATGAGAATCGGTCAAGCCATTTCGGAGGAGTATGGGAACGAAAACTGTGATACGAGAATTTTATACATAAGATGTTTTAACGAACTATATGAAACAAGAGCAATAGAAGGAATAACAAAACCATAGCAACCAATATAAAATATAAAAATAAGGAATTGTCGTACCAGCCAGGGCCCGATTGTAAGGAGTCCTGTACAATACCCGTATTACGATTTAGGGTCGGTAAAGGGCACGTGACACCCTTGTCGTTTCTGGCATCCGTAGACTACGGTTTCCCATTAAATGGGCAGTATGCTTCTTTGCCACCATCGTAGTATAAAAAAAAAATATAGAAAAAAGTGATATCTCTAATATATTGAGTACTAGCTACTCGCCCCACCTTGCACGGGTGTACATGTATTATATATATAAACCTTCCTCTTGAATCACTATTAAAATCCGTTGCGACGTTTAAAGATTTAAGCATACATAGGGACGGACAGACAGCGACAGCGACTTTGTTTTATACTATGTAATGATGTTGGTACACAAACACTCGATGATTTTTATGCATTATTACAAATGTATGCAGTCAACTCTAGACATCATAATCCAATTTCTCACCAAACAACATAGTTGTAGCCGTATGTGTTAAAGATACGCCTGTGGAATAAAATAGTCGTATACAATCCTGGCTGTGGGACACATTCAGTTTAGTAGCATGCTCTCTTTAGGATGTAAATACTACACGCTTTCACACGTGGCATCGTCCACTTTTTTAAGATAAAAGTCCTCGTGAAACAAGATATTAACAGTTGTAAAAAGATAACAAACAAACATACCTAAAAAACACAGTATAACATAATCTTTACATATAATAAAATCGTTATTTTCACGTTCACATAAAAATGGGATGAATTTTTCACATTTCACATTTCACAAACTTCGAGGATAGCTTTGAAAATATGATAAATTTTATGAAAATTTTCATTACACCATATATTATAATTTAATTTTCAAAATAACGAAAAAATGCCATTATATTTAGTGTAATCAAAAGAACGAGAAAATCCGAGTAACATAACATATAAAGGAACATAAATATTTCGATTTCTGAATAGAGATAGAAGAAATGTCGAAGAATCGTAATTTTATTGTATGGACATAACAGATGGACCATTATAGATAAAGTAATTGTTATTTAATATACTATTCCTCGGAATAGAGAAGAACCTAAAAGTTTTTTTTATTTTTGTACAGCACTGTATGGCTGTGGTTTTCTGCTTGGTGGAGGTACTACGCCAGTTCGGGCCGCACCAAGTCGAGTAAGATGTATCGAAATATATCTTGCTGTGCCCTCCCTTCTAAAAATATATAACTCGAATGGACCTGATGGTAAGCGATCACACTTCTACTAACGATAGAAAATCATTTATTCAAATAAACTTACATTGAAGCACTTTTGAATAGTCATTACATTTTTTTTTAATCTACCGCTAATGGGACTCACCTCTTTCTCCCAGTCGTAAGGGTCAGACTCTCTAATCCCACGTCGCTTGCAGCACTTCTCCAGGATGGTGGTGAGCAGGCCGTAGTCGGGCGTGTCCGCATACTCCAGCTGCTGCACGTGTTCCAAGAACTGGCGCAGCTCGTTGGGTAGATGCTTGAGGAGCAGCCGATGGTCATACTTTTCTTTCATCAGCCCGACCTGTTCCATTATGAAGTTAGTCTATAAATTCGTAAATAACAATATTGACTGATTGATTGACGACCTCGGTGGTATAGCGGTCTAGCACACCGCTTTATCTGATGGTCGCGGGTTCGATTCCTCGCACGGCACAAACATTTGTATTCATAAGTATGATTGTTTGTATCGGTCTGGGTGTTTTCTATGTATCATATGTATTTATTTACAAAAAAAAATATATCCATGTATTTACATCAGTTGTCTAGTACCCATAAAACAAGCTCTGCTTAGCTTGGGACTAGATGGCGCTGTGTAAATTGTGCAGGGTTATCATTATTATTATTACCTTACAGACTATTTTTTTCTCTCTATTTATTTAGAAGCTTAGCATAATGGTGAACATTTTAGCTCCGTGTTGACTTCTTAATCAATTACATTACATCTAAAATTTAAATTACTATAGAAACAAATATTACCTACTTTTATCTACAAATTTATAAATTAGTACCGATTGTTTTGATGCAGGTTCTGATAAAATACTCTAAAAGATTCCTAAATTAATTTTGTTTGAATTTATTTTTTTCAGTAATTTCTGCCTTTCAGTGTCATTCTTGACGCATTCCATCAACAAATGTTGAACATCATCAATACCACAAGTTTGACAATTGGGGGAGTCTACTCTTTTCATCACTCCACACCGGCGCCCCCGGGCGCCCCTCCGATCGATCCCCCGTCCAATTCAAACGGGGATCGAAATTACGACGGCCTGAGTCAAGGTTCGAACCCCTAGTGGTGCCCTCAGACTAAAGTCGTATCCGTCAGGCAGGAGTTGGCCTTCAGCCGCTCCATAAGTCCTTCCGCGGGTTTGGAGTGCCATCTGCACTCGCCCCCTAACATCCAGTGAAGCTGTAAAGGCCAGCTGCGGCCAACAGCATTAAGGTAGTCCGAAAAAAAAAAACAGAAATCCAAATTTGTTTGATGGAATGTGCCCTGAACGCAATCTAAGTGCTAAGACTACATACTTACGACTAATATACATAACTTTCATAATTAATAATTCATAATTTAAGTGCTACGCTCTTGTCGGTGGAGCTCTTGCCACTTTCCGCGATCATCCATCATGCTCTTTAATTCTTGATACGACACGACTCCCATTTTGTCCTCAATTTGTTTGATGTAGCTATTCCTTGGTCTTCCCCTCCCCCTCTTTTCTTCTATTTTCCCCTCAATAATAATTTTCATGAAATCATCGTGCCGTATCAAGTGCCCTAACATTTTTCCTCGTCTATTTTCTATGGTGTTCAATACATAACATGGGAATGGTATTAAAATAAAATAAAATAATGATACTGCATCATAGATATTATTGAGAAAAGGCGGGGAAAAATGTTGGGGCACTTGATACGACACGACGAACTAATTAACAACATTATAGAAGGAAAAATAGATGGAAAGAGAGGAAGGGGAAGACCAAGACACAGCGTTTAAAGAAAAAGCTGGAGTCGTGTCGTATCAACAGCTAAAGGGACTGATAGAAGATCGTGGAAGGTGGCGGGAGCTCCACCGACAAGAGCACAGCTCTTAAATTATGAATGAATGAATGATACTGCGGCATCAGTATCATTATTTTATTTTATTACCTGCTCCTTGTCCTTGATCTTCCTCCACGGCAGCTGTCCGTTGACGAACTCCACAAGCATGTAGAACAGCGACCAGAGGTCGTCGTGGCGGCCCATCTCTTTGTTCTTGTGTGCATTTATTGAGGCGTACCGGACGGTGCCTGGGAATGAAATGAAATAATTTATTTGCGAAATATTGGTACAGTACTATAATTAATACGATGCCACATGAAATCCATTGATCAGCAATATTTACCATACAGGCATGCAAATTACGTGAAGGCGCTTGTGCCACTCAAATATTCTTGGACACTGTAAAAATTACCAAGTGACAGCCAATTATTTAGTTTGCGTTTGAATAACGTATGAGACCCCAGTTCTTTAATCTCTCTTGGAAGATTGTTGTACACTTTGATTGGCATACAGTATACATTTCTCTTATGTAAGTCTAATCGACACATTGGTGTGTATAGTCTATCATTAGGTCTCGTTACTCGCAGTGTTGTGTCTGTTAATTTCTTAAAATAGTCAGGATGTTCCCTTACAAATATACAAATGTCTTTAATATACATACATGGCAATGGAAGGATGTTTAATTTTTTAAAAAGAGATCGACAACTTTCTCTTACTTAACAAAGAATATATATATACTCTTTATCATATAGATCAGTGTTTCTCAATTTTTTTTAATTTTGCGATATCTTTACAGGATAAAATATACTAGATATTATATATATTTTTATTATTATGTATATGTTATTATATATATTCATAGAAAACCAAAGAAACAATTTTATTAAAAGCCTACATACGTAGTTGAGTAAAAATTTGTGTTTATTTTCGTACATTTATCTATTACTAGATACCCAATATATGTATTAATATATATATATAAATATGTATTATACATATAAACCTTCCTCTTGAATCACTCTATCTATTAAAAAAACCGCTTGTAAATCCGTTGCGTAGTTTTAAAGATTTAACATACATAGTGACGGACAGACAGCGACAGCGACTTTGTTTTATACTATGTAATGATTTACGTCGGCGCTGGCGGCGTTGATATATGAACCTCGACTTTTTCTTTCAGCCGACGACCCCCAGAGTTAGGTTTCGGGACCCCCGTAGTGGTCGCGACCCACAGATTGAAAAACACTGGCATGGATAATGCAAGTAATAAATAATTTAGAGACAATGTAAGCAGTGGTGGACTTATCTCTAGAAGATTTGTCTTCCAGTCAGCACAAAACAGTGGGATAAATAGAGTTTGCATTATTGGTAGTACACAACTGATATAAGTAAATACATTTTATTTAATAAGTAATACATCCAGATCCATACAAACAATCATACTCATAAATACAAATATTTGTACCATGCGAAGAATTGAACCTGCGACCATCGGTGCGTTAAACCGCTATTATATATATTTTTCGTGTTTATTAAGCAGATTTTACTAAATATCGCCTATTATTTTCAGTGGGGGCAGAGCCACTGAGGGCCCCGTGAATACAAAGGGCCCTGGGCTGCAGCCCAAAAAGCCCTTAAGTAGATCCGCCCCTGGTTGTGAGGAAACCAATAAATCATTTTCATTTCACCTCTGAACCCGGCCGCCGCCCTGGGCGGTCGCACGGTCCCGTTGTTGGTGGTGTACTGCCGCGCCAGCCCGAAGTCCAGCATGTACACCTTGCGACAGTTGCTCGGGTGACGACCGATGCTGAAGTTACTCTGAAACCATTCAATACTCTCATCAGCGGCGATCAACAAGGTTAAGCAATTTTATATGTGGTCACAATTTGGATGGGTGTTCGATATTATCATGAAAGGGATAAAATAACAATAACTTCAAAAGAATAAAAGAGTACTCAATAATTTTAGGAGATCAATGGATACGGACATCCTTATGACAAGACAGCTTAATACTCAAGAATGGCATTTAGAGTGCCATGGGCACCACTTGGTGAACTGATGTCATGACACTGTTTATGTATATTGGTGACTAGCTCACCCGCGCAACTTCGTCTGCGTTTCATTTCCCCACTGTTTGCAATATTTTTCATTGCAGCTCCGCTCCTATCGGTCGTAGCGTAATGTTATATAGCTTAAAGCCTTCCTCGACAAATGGACTATCCAACACAAAAATAATTTTTCAATTCGAACCAGTAGTTCCTGAGATTAGCGCGTTTAAACAAATAAACAAACAAACCCTTTAGTTTTATAATATTGGTATAGATGATTACCATTTTCCATAAGACAAGCCGACATAAGTTTGTCTGTTATTTTAGTTATTTATATGATGAAATTACATGAAAATATATACTTACAGGTTTAATATCTCTGTGCAGGAATCCCACTGAATGTATTGAGTCTATAGCTCTGAGTATTTGTAAGCCCAATCTGTGACAAATATACAAAAAGAACATAAATATTACCGTGCCCGGGATATATGAATATATTAATATTATAAATTCTGATCAGGAACGTCTGATTTCCTACAGTTAACTCTTTAAACATATTTAAAGCAGCTGTCAGTTGTCAAACAGTTCAATCAAATTTTTGACAATACAATATCGGGAATAAAAAGAAAATTGCCAGTTATATAAAAAAAATCCTCAAAAATTATTTTTCTACTAGTTTATAGCTAAAGGTTGTTGTTTTATACTTTGTAGTCGACGGTACTTATTAAATTAAAAATTAATAAACTTATCCTAATTATCACATGATTGAATTATAAATATTTCTTAGAATTATTTTATTTAAATTACCCATTGCATCAAATATTATTTTATGAGCGTGTAACACTGTGAACGAATGAAAATCTAAACTTCATTTTGGTAAACGCGATCTGTATAATGTTTGTAATTCTATTTAAAGTAAAACGAGATCAACGTCGTTCTTTTTTTCGAGTTCACGCTGAACTCCGTTTCCTTGAACGTGTTTATGCTACGATTGGTGAAATCTGACCTGAGTTTCTTGCCAGATTTCAATTGGATCTATAACTGAAGTGGACGGTAAGGAAAAAATAACAATATAAAAAATTTGATGTTCATAACCGACTAAAATGTCCTACATGGAATAGATGATTTTTGAAATTGAGTGGCACTGGATAGGTCGAACCTGAGGGTGGTGGATATGGAGAAAGCGCCGCGTGGCTGTGCGCGCCGCAGCTCGGCCAGGTTCCTGCCCTGCAGCTGCATCACCACGTAGTTGAACCGCGCGTTCCTGCCGCACCCGATGAACCGGCACACGTGCTCCTTACCTGCGCCATAATCACACATGGACATATCTATCTGTAGAATAGAGACTAAAAAAACTAATATAACCCATATTATTTTTTTTTATTAGCGATATTAGTACTTTAAGTACTAATATTATATGGCAAAACAGCGTTTGCCGGGACAGCTAGTAAAAATATAGATAGATCGATAAATCGATTATTTCATCATTGTCATCATCAATTACTATATACAATACTAGCTACTCGCCCCGGCTTCGCGCGGGTGTACATGTGTTATATGTATTATATATATAAACCTTCCTCTTGAATCACTCTATTTAAAAATACCCGCATCAAAATCCGTTGCGTAGTTTTAAACATTTAAGTATACATGGGACGGACAGACAGCGACAGCGACTTTGTTTTATACTATGTAATGAAGGTGCAAATGGAAAGCTAAACAGACAGCCCACCTAATGGAAAGCGATAACTGTCATCTATTGATTTATAAATGAAGAATTACTAGTATTTAAAAATGTAATGATACCCAAGACTTTCAGACGCATAGAGGATACAAGGAGTAGATCAGTCTTCATAAGTAGTAAAATAATAATTAGTAGGGGTCAAAAGAATGCGTGCTTTTCAGATACGGCCAGTATATCCGCGTTGGTATCATCATCTCAGCCTGGAAGACGTCCACTGCTGGACATAAGCCTCCCCAAGAGAATGCGCTTCTCGCATCCATCGCCTTCTAGCGATCTTGACCAGATCGTCGGTCCACCTTGCTGACATCCACCGGTCCGTGGTCGCCACTCGAGGACTTTATTGCCCCAAAGACCATCTGTCCTACGAGCTATGTGCCCTGCACATTGCCACTTCAGTTTTGCAATTCTTCGGGCTATATCGGTCACTCAGGTTCTTCTGTGGATCTCCTCATATCTGATTCGATCACGCAGAGAAACTCCGAGGATAGCCCTCTGAGTGACTGAGCTTGTTCATGAGGGCCGAGGTTGGTATGGCCATGGGTCATTGGAGGGTTGTCACTTCAGACTACAAAGGTATAAATGAAATGCCCACCTTGTAATTTCTTCAGCACGGCGACTTCCATCTTGAGCACCTGTTTGGGCTGCCGCGACGACTCCACCTTGAGAGCGACCTGTTCCTGGGTTACCAGGTCCAGGCCCTCATAAATCTCACCGAAACCTCCGCCGCCGATCTTCTTCACCACCTGCAAAACGTGGAGAATACTCAGCTGCTTCTTGTCAGTTCTTAGCTCGAAAGCTTTGACATATTGTAAGTCTGTAATAGACCTACATGAATAAAGATATTTTCTTTTGATTTGTTGCTCTCAAGCTTACAGAGATATCTATCTTTTCTTCATATGGCAACATTATTTATATCTAACACTTAACTATTTACGTTTAGTATATTATTAATATAGTTAGTAGGGTCTTAAAATGAATAATTTTATGGTAAATATGTTATTTACCTCTCTCGACGTTTCGACTTGCACTAGCCGTGGTCACGACCTGACTGGAGTACAGCGATGTCAATGTGGGTAGTTGAGAGCAGTTTGTTCAACTACCGTCACTAGATTGTTTAAAGAACGACACATACGGTTTCCGTACATTTATGGACTGCCACTATTGAACTTATATAATTAATCATTGAATACCATAACAATATTATAATAATAATAGCTCAGGACAATTAATTAATTAATAACACAGCGCCTTCTAGTCCCAAGGTAAACATAACTTATGATACGGGTACTAGACAACTGATATAAATACATAGTTATTTTTTTGTACATATAAAACTTCCAGACCATATTTTTTAGTTCTATCACCTATAATACCAATCTATCATAAATAATATCATTCGTGCCGAATAGTGGCAATCCGAAGGGAAAACTTTTGACGTACTAATTAACCTCTCATCTGCGATCCAATCATTGGACTCGGACACTATAGCCCCATCGAAAAGGAGTCCTGTAATTGGTCCCACAGATGGGGCTGACAGCTAACAGTTAAAAGGCTGAGATTGGTCCCGCAGATGGGGCTTTGTCTTTTGACAGCTAACAGTTAAAAGGCTGAGATTGGTCCCACAGATGGGGCTTTGTCTTTTTGACAGCTAACAGTTAAAAGGCTGAGATTGGTCCCACAGATGGGGCTGTCTTTTTGACAGCTAACAGTTAAAAGGCTGAGCTTTGTCCTGGTATTTGGCTGTATGCTCGTGTTAAGACCCTAACTAACTATATTAACAATTTCTAACAGCGACTAGTTGAGTGTTGGTGTCACTCCCTGTAAGGAATACGCCTCCAGACTCCCCAGTCCACAGTATAGGACATCACTTCCGGTCAGATATTTCAAATGTATATATTACTGATTCGAAATCGACCAGTGAATATCCCGTGAAGCTTTAATCGATTTAATATCGATTAAAAATTATTTATTTATTATTTTACACACAAAATTCTATAGGTACATGATAGACTTAATGCCTACATTCTCTACCAGTCAACTGTCGCGTTGATCAGAGATAATAAGGCAGTGCAATTTAATAACTAAACATTAAAATAATTATTTAATTTCGCTTAAAAATTTGTTTATGATTTTTATTTACAAAATATTCTATTAATTTCTGCTTGTACTTCAAAATATATACATTCATATGTAATAAAGATTTTATCATCTGTATATATTTCTTTTTTATAACACGTTGCTGGCAAACAAACATACGGTCCATTTGATGGTAAACGATTACCGTAGCCTATGGACGCCTGAAACACCAGGAGTGTCACGTCGTTGCCGACACTTAAGAATATATATCTGTATATATATACTGAGCGATATTAATAGCAGTTAATATAATATATATAGCAGAAAAAAATGCTTATAAAGCTGATTGTACTTAGCTAAAATATGCTGTCTACCCGTTCAAGGACGACAGTCGTGAATATTCTTTCCATCCACTTTCCCATATTACGTATAGCTGTATGATCAATTGTCTATTTAAGTACATACAACTCTGCTTTTGAACGTAAACTCGTGTTTATGAATGGTAGATGGTGCTTGCGCTAAATGTACACGCAGGACACCAGTGAATGATGAAAGGATGAGCATGAAATCACCTTATTCAGTCCATCTAGGTCAATAGATTGACCAGGATGGTTTCAAGTGAGAACGTGTGGAGGTCGATATGACAGGATATATAGCTAGCAATGGGGTCGGTAGAAATAATTTTTATTAGAACATTTAGAAGGCATTACGAGAATGGTTGAAGAGTAAGGAATTTTATAATTTGAAGGTTATTTTTGACAATGTATAATTATCTACTGGAGAGATCCTATTATTAATTTCTCTCTGTATAGATGTTAAACAATAATATCTTGCATGCCATTGCTATGGCAAAACACATGATAACTACTATGCTTCGATTATCATCTTTTGTACTTGTGTTTTTGAGCAAATAAATTATTATTCTTATAATAAACTTAATACAAACACTTTTAATAGTGTTATTTTTAATGTAACTGTGATTGAAAATACAGATTCAGTTATGAATGACCAATAAACTTGTCTGTTGTTATTTTAAACAATTGTTTAAATTTACATTTTTAACTGTCTCTGTGAACACGAAAGTCAACCATACCGCAATTAGTTTATGGTAATTACTTATTTTTTCTTTGTCTATGACTAATACTATATGGTTCTTAGTGATGTTCAATTTGTAATAGTAATTTAAAAAATATAAAAGTCTCTTTGCTGGACATCTCTCATGTTGTAATCAAACGAATCTCAACAAGAAATTTGCAAAAAATTTATTTATGATTTAAATTTGCAAATATAATGTATTTATTATTAATAGAGGCAGTAGATTATTTATTAAACGTTACGAACACTGATTAGACTATTTGCTTTTGCAATAACATATGCTGGTGGTCACTCTATTCTCCTAAATTTGAATTTAAAAATGAATCTGTATTATTGTAAACATGTACAACATTTATTTGAAGAGAATACGAGCTGAGTTTCTTGTCAGCTCTTCTCATCTCGAAATCATTCCGAACTGCCCGTAAATTTGATATACATAAGCGTCTGTAATAGACCTACATGAATAAAGATATTTTGGATTTGAATTATTATAATTCATTCAGTCAAATCACAAAGAAGTTAATTTAAAGTAAAGAATTACTATCAGCTATTACGAACTATCCCCATTACTAACTATTCCCTTGCATTTATCGAAATCACTTCATATTCGGTGCCAAGGTTCTTACCTTCCATCGCTCCTTAATCATTTGGCCGGAATGCAGCTCGTCAGGCACCACGGGCGGTTCAGTATTCTGTGGCTTGGGTGCCTGCAGGATATCAGTTTACCTTTAATCAGCTCCGATGAACGACGTGGCCGCCGGCTAAAGTTTATTTGAGCTTTGCAATGCTGTTAGGTCAAGCGCAACTGTCGACTGCCATTGGTCGAGTTTGTAGATCCGTACATTACAATACTTAGGAGTACTATGCTAATAAATTATAGGGTCATTCGTAGTGAGTATACCTTACACAGGGTAGGTCGTATAGGGTATAATAAAGCTGAAGACAGACACAGAATTGTATAAATAAATGTATATGAGACAAAATTTTAAAACCTTAAAGGAAACAGTCTGAACAATGGAGTATGAAAAGGCCTACATAAGTTACTTTACACGAATTTCATTACTACCAAATGTGACGACATGTGACAAGGACGGGAGATCTTTGTCACATGTCGCCACATTTGTGACTCTCACTGCCTATTGTGTCTTCACATATTTTAAGATTTCACTATGTTTATTATTAATAAACAAACAGCAGTTTATTAGTTAGTTTTAATTCCATTTAAAATTATATTTTTAAATGTGATATCACAAAATTACGTCTCCTCCTACCCCTTGTCACACTACGTCACACTTCGTCAACCTACTCTCTATCTCTTAACATATATCATTATTTATGGATGATATTAAAGTTGATAATTTATTTTGATATTTCCAGTTTATTTCGTGATGAAACTGGTACCGCTTCTAGTGTTTTCTACCTCTGTTTTATTTATAACTTAGTAGACCCGGCCACGCGTTGCTGTGGCTAAGGTTCTTGAATAAAATAATATTGCGACTATAAATTGAGATGTAAGCTATCCTATCTTTCAAGTTGGATCAAATTGCACACAATGTGCAAATCAATTTTGCAATCGATTACTAGTTTAGGAGTCCATCACGGACAAACAACGTGACACGTAATTTTTATATATAAAGATTTAGTAGTAACTTAATAAAGTTGTATTTTATTAATTAATTACTTGATATACCCTTTACGGCTCACCTTGTATAATTTTAAATGACTAATCATAAGTTTTGCTACCAGTATCCTAATCTGCAACTAGGTGGAAGGGATTATTAGTAATAGGAACTGTGCTACACCATGTCAGATCAACCTGCAGGCCATCTACTGGAAATCGTGGTTAATGGTTAATTTGTCGCGATAGGCTACCTGGCCTGACTTCACTATCATTACATCTGCATAGGCACTCTGCTAGCGCATAGCAATGCACCATCATGTGTTTACAAAAAAACAATCTATTTCTTTGCCATTTTACTTGTAGTATCTAAATAAATGCACCAAATGGAAATCAGAGCTGGAATTTCATGTACTTTAGGTCCATATTGGCTCTTAATATTGTCAGATTTTTATCATGATCTATTTAAAAAAAAACATTGTATTATTTACCATTTCATTTGAAGTATCGTAATGTATGAACCAAATAAATATCAGAGCTGGAATGTCATGGACTTTAGGTCCATATTGGCTCTTGATATTGTTAGTTTCTGTTTCTGGATATGTTCTGATAGTGCTGTATGTTTACATTAGTATAAATAAAACATATAAATCATTACGTTTTAAATTAAAACTGGTTCTTAGCAGCACTAATAATTGTGGAAGATTATCATGTGATTTAATTGAAACATTATAAAATACACTATATTTGCTGCTAATTTTAACATCTCCATCAGATTATGGGCATGTACTAAAGTGTATATAAAATTGTGAATTCTAAATAATACTGGTGAAAAATAAAAATGTCAGAAATAATTGTTAAAAATTAACTATATTCTATTTTTGTAAAAGTCAACAACAACATTCTATTCTAACAACAGAATACGGAATATCATTAAAATCCCTTCAATTTCTGAAGTATTCCTTTAATATTTTCTATATATTTCAAAGATTACTATTCTATATCTTTTAAAGAGTCAACAGATTCTATTCTATCCTAACAACAGAATACGGAGTATCATTCAAATTCCTTCAATTTCTGAAGTATATCTTTAGAAGAAAGAGTTTTCATTTCCTGAAGTATTATTTCCTGTATCTTTTAAAGATTACTATTCTATATCTTTTAAACAGTCAACAAATTCTGTTCTATTCTAACAATCGAATCCCCAATTTCACTAACAATTAGAAGTCTGAAGTATTCCTTAGGTATTGTAATGTAGGATTGGGTGTAAAACGACACTGCACAGTGGCTAATCAGCCCCACCACCAAGCTGATAGTGTAATACCACTATATATGGTATAACCAAAATAATGCTCAATAATTTTGGAATTCGAGATCATAGGCGATATCTATACATATAAATAAAACGGAGTGTCTATTTGTAATATTGAAATAACAGTTTTTTACTACATGCATATGAATATAAATACGGTACATACACCAAAATAACATTTTTTACAATTATTGTCTGTCTGTCTGTTTGTTCCGGCTAATCTCTGAAATGGCTGGACCGAGTTTGATGGGACTTTTTTTCGCAGGTAGCTGATGTATTAAGGAGTAACTTAGGCTACTTTTATATTAGAAAAAATTTCTTTTATTTTAGAAAAAATAGTTCACACGGACTAAGTCGTGGCTGCAGCTAGTTTCATAATAAAAGTATTAGTCCGCCTCTGGTGCACCCGGGTGTTTTATGAATATGACTTTTGAATATATTAACATAATATATAACCTATATCATCACACTGGAATAATATACTTTTCAGACATGGAAGGATTTCACAAATCTAAATATATTTATATTATATTTATATCTAAATAAGTATTCATTCCATTCCTTGATAGATTTGTATTGTTTTGTTTAATTCTGCTACTATTAGCAAGTGAGTGTGACCACAAATATGTGTAGCAACCTGATCACCACTACCATAAAGATTACGACCTTCTCTTGTACCTTCATGACCTTTGGTGATCAAATTACGAGCGTTATCGGATCTCCAACCATATTATGAATAGAATAGAATAGAAAATCATTTATTCAAATAAACTTACATTGAAGCACTTTTGAATAGTCATCACATTTTTTTTAATCTACCGCTCATTCGGAAAGCTGTCTAAGACAAGAAGAACAAGCAAGAAACTTGTATGTTGCTCTTTTAAATAATTTATTCTTACTTACAATTTAAGTTTAAGTGTGTGAATATAAACTACCGATTAGCACTAATTCAATGAAATAATAAAATAGAAAAAACATTCGATATACAACAACTGGTTAAACAATTAATAAGAGAAAATACGTCATAGTGATTAGAGCAGACCAGTCCACACAAGACACGGGTTTCGCCTCTAAACGAGGCATCATCAGGAAATTATAGTAATAGAGTTTGGATATATTGGAGTTGGTCACACTACGACGACGGCTGGTTGGATTGATCGTAAACATTAGGCTTCTATTGCTATATCCGAGCTCTTCACTTCATTCTATGCAGATAAGAACATTGTCCGTTACGTATATAACAATCTCATTCATTCATTCATTCATAATTTAAGAGCTACGCTCTTGTCGGTGGAGCTCTTGCCACTTTCCGCGACCTTCCATCATGCTCTTTAATTCTTGATACGACACGACTCCCATTTTGTCCTCAATTTGTTTGATGTAGCTATTCCTTGGTCTTCTCCTCCCCCTCTTTCCTTCTATTTTCCCCTATAACAATCTCAGCAGTGGTTTTTTTTTCGGACTACTCTAATGCTGTTGGCCGCAGCTGGCCTTTACAGCTTCACCGGACGTTAGAGGGCGAGTGCAGATGGCACTCCAAACCCGCGGAAGGACTTATGGAGCGGCTGAAGGCCAACTGCCTAACGGATACGACTTTAGTCTGAGGGCACCGCTAGGGGTTCGAACCTCGACTCAGGCCATCGTAATATCGATCCCCGTTTGAATTGGACGGGGGATCGATCGGAGGGGCGCCCGGTCTCAGCAGTGGTATTTCCAAACCGATATGACATTGAAACCTTACAAGAGTGTATTCTTTTGTTCACCCGCTGGCAGCTTGCTTCGTAAACTGTGTTTTGGTTGTAAGGTACTTGCTATATCCGAGCTCTTCACTTCATTCTACGCAGGTAACGTTGCATAAAGTCTATCTTGGTAATATTTAATTCTCATTAGACATTAGATTAGTTATTGTTTATTCAAATCTTCTGCATCTAGGGATTGACTTTTTTTTTATTCTTTCTTTTTATATGACTATTCAAAAGTGCTTGTAATGAGTTTATTTGAATAAAGATTATTTCTATTTCGGTCGATCATTTTATGCATAGTGAGAGAACTTTTTTCGAAATATTCTTGTCTGGCCTTTACCGTACGAAAAAGTGGGAGGGCTATACATTACAATTTTTTTTTAAGCTGTAACAGTTTCTTTTTTTTTTTATTGAGCATTATTTTGGTTACTTACCCGTTACTGACCAATTTGTGACTAATATATTTTTTATTGTAAGATAATTTAACAAACTTACTACGTTTTTATCTTACGCGATAATGATCTATGACAAATGTTCTGCACTCATCCTGAATAACACTTCCGGATGAGGACAAAACAAATGTCGTAAGACGAAGATCTAGTAAGTTAATTAAATTCCCGGACATACTAGCAATTATATACACATTTCTATAAATACAATTTTAAAAATAAAATTAAAACTAATTTTTAACCGACTTCAAACACGTAAATTTTGATTTCAACTTAAGTATCTTAAGTGTATCTTAGAACATTCTTATAAGTGTACCGATTTTGATGATTCATTTTATATTTCAAATGCCTCTCATGGTTTTCTCACCTTTAATAACACCATTCTAGTAGATTTTAACGTATACTGACACAGCCAATTAAGGTATTAAAGATTTTTTTTTAATTGTTATAAAATATTAATCGAACTAATCCACCAATGGGAATTGTGTATATATTTTTTTTAATCATTGGTGGCGGGGCGTGACGTCACTGTACACAGTATACATATAAGCTAATGGGTTATATATATATGTATGTATATATAGAAGGTTACTGCGTGCACGGCAGTGCAATCAACAAGTGTTAGTTGTTACCTGCACATCCTTAAGTTAGAGACATTATAATATTAAGAAGTCAGCTTTGATAGCTTCCAATGCGATACGAAGCTTATTACATGCTAGAGCTCGTTTGACTCTCAAATAAATTCCAAATATAGTTATTAACAGTTTAATATAATAATAAATAAATAATAAATAATCTCCGTACAATTCACACAGCGCCATCTAGACCCAAATTAAGCTACCTAAAGCTTGTGTTATGGGTACTAGACAACTGATACAAATACATAGATATGTTTTTTTTCGTAAATACATACATATTATACATAGAAAATACCCAGACCGATACAAACAATCATACTCATGAATACAAATGTTTGTGCCGTGCGAGGAATCGAACCCGCGACCACCGGACGTAAAGCGGTGTACTAGACCGCTAGACCACCGAGGTTTATTTATATTATTAACCGGGTTTTAACAAAAATTACTATCAATTTGCATATGATTATTAAGTTTGTACAATTTTAGAGATAAATCATATTTAATACTATATAAAAACAATTTTATATCAAAATCATCACATCAATACGTGAATCAAAAACTTTGGGCCCCTTTTACGAAAGATACGTGGACGGACGGGTGTGAAATTTCGCAAACTTATAGTTTATATGCATTCTATATAGTTTTTTAATTAATACATAACAATATATTAAATAATAAAAAAAGACTGCACACACCATGTTTTTAACACACTTTTATTTATTGTTAAAGTCTGCGGTCAAATTGAGAATAGATAAATATTTTAAGTATTATTAATTTATATAATGAATTTTTCTTTCTACGAGAGGACAATAAATATATTTTTCAATAATTTAAACATTATTAATTTACGTATTTCTTTTTCGATCTACAAAAACAATAAATAGTTTTTAATTTTGTTTATAGTCTTACTGAATGTTTTTATTTATCGAATTTCGACGGGCGATCACTTTTTATTATTATATATGTTAATATATTAATTTGGAATTTACATGAGAGACCAAACCAGCTGCCGAATGTACAGTGCTGTAATTATGTTAGGGTGGTCGCTAGGTGGGCGGCGCATGCACGGCAGTGCGCTCGGCCAAGTCCGCTTGTTTACCTTCCAGCGCTCCTTGACCACGTGTCCGGGCTGCAGCAGGTCCTCGGACGCCATGGTGATGTGGTGCGCGCGGCGTGATGTGTCGCAGCGGGACGCCTCGCGGGATCGGTGCCCGCCGAAGTTCGGGAGGGTACGAGATCTGTTACATACATTTTATTTATTCGTGATATACAAACAAAAACTACTTACTTTGTATATTTATTTCTACAGAAAGCGGTCCGTACCCTTATTAATTTGATATATTTTTATGAAATTTATTACTATTAATTTTAATAATATAAAATTGTATTTATTTTTTAATTTTAATACATATTATGATCTTAACCGGTTCTGAATATGAATAATTTTATGGGAAATAAAGGTATAATAAACCTCTCTCGACGATTCCACTTTGTCAATTATACTCATGAATACAAACGTTTGTACCATGCGAGGAATAAAACCCACGTTCATCGAAAAACGCTGTGCTAAGCCGCTACTTACTAGACTACCAAGACCAAGTTATGTAGTTAACTCAATAGACACAAGTTAACAATGTAACTTAGGTTCCTGTTTAGTTAGGAACTTGTTTGTGAGGATAAGTAAATAAATTAATTACAGATTCCGTACCTCAATAACGGATTAGGCTGTACCCTAAGCGCGCTGGCGGCTTCCTCACGCCTCTCTTCTCTCTGTAAAAATAAAAAATAACGTTGTTAGTATTTACAGGTGACACGACTTATCACAAAATCAGTGCTGTAAGCTCATTTATAAGCTTTAAATAATTTGGTGTGTTATCATTACATAGTATAAAACAAAGTCGCTGTCGCTGTATGTCCTATGTATGCTTAAATCTTTAAAACTACGCAACGTATTTTGAAGCGGTTTTTTTAGTAGACAGTTATTCAAGAGGAAAGTTTATATATAATATATAATACATGTACACCCGTGCGAGCCGGGGCAAGTAGTTAGTTTCTTATATAACATTATAATAAATTTCTTATAAGAATAAACAATCTTCAATTGTGACAAAATAAGACTAATGCAAAAAGCACGGTGGTGCTCGGTGATAGCTTACTTAACCGTCATACTCGTGAAGTGACTGACTGATTTAATCTTATTTAGTTATTCAACAATTTGATTATGTATTTAAATAACTACTATCAGACCCGGCCACACGTTGTTGTGGCAAAGGTTCTTGAGTAAAATAATATTGCGACTATAAATTGAGATGTAAGCTATCCTATCTTTCAAGTTGGATCAAATTGCACACAATGTGCAAATCAAATTTGCAATCGGTTCAGTAGTTTGGAGTCCATCGCGGACAAACAACGTGACGTGTAATTTTTATATATAAAGATTTTACTCTAATCAATCAGTGCTATTTGGTAGTTTGTATTCAAACATGTCTACTTAAAAATGTAAAGCTACAACGATTATTTAAAAAAGCAACACGCAAGTTTCTTGCTCGTTCTTCTTGTGATGTGTTGTGTCTTATCATAACAGCTTTCCGAATGAGTGATAGAATAAAAAAAATAAAGTAAGACTATAGAAAAGTGTTCAAATTTAAATTTATTAGAGTAAAGAATTTTCTCTTCTATTCATAGTGAATTTTTATGGGTTCTGTTCATACATTGAGTTTTAGCATCTGTGACTCTTGAGTATGAACTATTGAAAGGTGCTCAAATTTAAGTTTATATCAATAAAGAATTTTGTATTCTATTTTATTCAGTAACAATTTATTTTTTGCTGCTAAGAAATTCATCAACACTGTATAATGATTATTGTGTTTGAAATTATACAATTTTTTGCTGCTAAGAAATTTTGCTCCAACAGAAAACAACGCAACCTCCTCCTAAAAAGCTTCCAATTATGTATTTTCTGTTAAACTGTTGGGCAAAGAGTTGTAAAGCCTTACTGCTTGGAAACCCTCACCATGCTTCACAATATTAAGGGTAGGTTTTATAATGTTAGGGTAATCCATTCTGCGAGTATTTTCTCTTATAATAGGTCCTAATAGCTCTTTTTTGTAATATAAACGCCTTATTTATATTGTATTTATAACTATTGCCCCTTTTTTTTGATTCCACTAGAGCATAATAAACAGTCAATTATACATTAAACTTTAGCATATGCCTCTGGTGCCTCTGGGAGTATTATAGCATCGTATTACTGGCTAATGTGAGTATTGTTGTTACAGCACTTGTCTGTATTTCTGTCAAACCCTCACCTGGGGTTCATGGCGACGGAGACGCGGCACCGGGGCGGCGTCCGAGCCCGACCCCTGTGACGCTGTGTCTGCTGACGATGATGACGATTCTGGAATCATTTACGGTGATATCATTAAAAAGTGTATCATTACGAGATATTTGGAGTTATTATGTCATTTATCATGTATTTACCATGTTGTAACTGGCTAATCAAAAATGTATGTACAACATTTAAAAAAAAAAATACGAGCTGAGTTTCTTGTCAGTTCTTCTCATCTCGAAATCATTCCGAACTGACTGTAGATTTGACATATCATAAGAGTCTGTAATAGAGATGAATAAAGATGCTTTGTTTTTTTTTTATTTTGTATTTTTTATTCTAAATTTGTATTTTAAATATATAGTCCTTTTATAGTACATTCTTGTTTATACATCTATATTGTTGTCAATATACTTTCTGAATATATTTTCTCCGTATACCTAATCTTTTTCTTTTACCTATACACAAATGAAACAAAATTACAACTTATCGCATATCTAGTACAATAATAGTGTAATTAAAAAATTTGAAATTTACCCGCTGCTCTTCAGTTTACCCGTGATCATGGCGGTTGAAACACTACCGAAATATCGGGAACTCAGCAAATAAATATAAAACGTGGTAAGATCCCGTGATTTTTTACTAATTATACGTATACTCTACTAATGTTTGTATAAATTAAAACAAAAAAGGCTCACCTGATCTGTTAGATTGGGGGTGACCTTGCTGCTGGAAGGGCGAGTCTCGCTCGCACTTTGGCTCCTGTTCCCTGCAACAAGATGGTCATTTGTAATATAGGCCAGAAGTATCATCTTAAAGTAATTTTGTAATTATTATACTAATATATGAAGCAACAAATATTTAATTGAATTAGTGCTAATTGGTAGTTTGTATTCACACACTTCAACTTAAAAATGTAAAATAACAATAAAATTATTTAAAAGAGCAACACGCAAGTTTCTTGCTCGTTCTTCTTGTGATGAGACGGATTTTCGAATGAGCGGTAGATTAAAAAAAAATGTGATGACTATTCAAAAGTGCTTCAATGTAAGTTTATTTGTATAAATGACTTTCTATTCTATTCTGAACACTTTTGCCTATTATTTCATTATCTCTCAACATTACAGCTCACAATTTTTCCTGTTTTGCTCCAAAAATTACAGCGTTATGGTAAGTAGCTCATAATATCCCTCAATCGCTAAACTTATCGTTGTATCTATACATATAAATAAAATTGGAGTGTCTGTTTGTAATATTGAAATAACTGAATTGAATATAAATACGGTACATACACGAAAATATTTTTTTTACAATTTTTTTCTGTCAGTCTGTTTGTTCCGGCTCTCTCTGAAATGGCTGGACCGATTTTGACGGGACTTTTTTTTGGGAGTCAGAGTTCTTTTTTCAGGGAGGTTATGTAATAAGGAGTAAATTAGGCTACTTATATTTTAGAAAAATAAAGTTAAATTCCACGCTACCCTACGGAACAGCTAGTTTATACTAATTTTATTAATGTAAGTGTGTCTATCTGTTTATTTATTACCTTTTCACGACTAAACGGCTGAACGCGTCGTAATAAAATTTGACGTTACAATAGATCGTATCTCAAGGCACTCCTTGCGATATCGTCTACTTTGACATAGTCCATATTTTGGCTCAAAAAAATCAAACGAAGTAACGGGTCCATAAAAAGAAGCTTTTTATATGCAACTGTCAGTTGCAGAGATTAGTGTTAAAAAAACAAACATATTCTCACTTTGGTAGTAAATAGTAGAAATGATGACGTCCTCGGTCGTCTAACGCTTTAGCACACCGCCTTACTTCCGATGGTAGCGGGTTCGATTCGTCGCACGGTACAAAGATTTATATCGTACCAATCATACTCAGATTATTCGTATCGGTCTGGGTGTATTTTATGTGCGTGTGTATGTGTGTATGTTGATGGATGCATCAGTGGAGGATGATATGTTAAGCATGAAGTCAGGTTAGTAGCTAATTCTCCAGGAATTAACCACAATGGCAATTCAGAAATAAATCGTAACAAACATAACAAGTTTTCTATGTATAATACATACATATTATACATAGAAAACTTGTTATGTTTACGAAAAAAAGAAAATGATCTATGTATTTGTATCAGTGGCAATGGTCAGGGCACATAGCTCGTAGGACAGATGGCCGTTGGGGCAGTAAAGTCCTCGAGTGGCGACCACGGACCGGAAGACGCAGCGTGGGAAGGCCTCCAGCAAGGTGGACCGACGATCTGGTCAAGATCGCTGGAAGGCATTGGATGCGAGCAGCGCAGGACCGATCGTCGTGGAGATCTTTGGGGGAGGCCTATGTCCAGCAGTGGACGTCTTCCGGGCTGCGATGATGATGATGATGATGATGATTTATATCAGTTGTCTAGTGCCCATAACACAAGCTTTATCTAGATTAACTTGGGTCTAGATGGCGCTGTGTGAATTATCCTGAGATTATTATTATTTTTGTGTTTCGCTTTCTCAGCCTTTTTGCGCTTTGTGGCGTATACCATTATTATTATATTATTATACAAAAATTCTCATCGCCCCTCTTAAGGAGAGGAGATGGCAACTTGCCCCTAATTATTATTATTATTCTTACCACTTACCATAAAATTTATTTGTTCATTACTTAGACTAAGCTGGTATTATTTTTAAATACCTAACTATTTAATATATGCACTGTTATTCTATAAAAATAGAGAAGATTATCTGTTCCCGCGACTTCATCCGCGTGGAATTTAACTTTGTTTTTCTAAAATAAATGTAGCTTAACATCTTGTGATGTTGTTTTTAATAACCTACACATACACACATAATTCTGCCGTCGTTGCCATGCAAATAAACAATACAAGTAACTCCTTAATATTCCCTCGCGTAATAAAATTACCATAGCGTAGGATTATGACTCTTCAATATTGATTTTAAACTTACCCCCATATAGCGTAGTTGTGTATTAACTCGCTTATCTATACATATAAATAAAATTGGAGTGTTTGTTTGTAATATTGAAATAACCGTTTTTTACTACATGCATATGAATATAAATACGGTACATACGCCAAATTAACATTTTTACAATTTTTGTCTGTCTGTCTGTCTGTTCTGGCTAATCTCTGGAATGGCTGGACCGATTTTGACGGGACTTTTATTGGCAGGTAGCTGATGTAATAGATAATTTAGGCTACTTTAATTCCATGCGGCGATGTAGCGGGTACAGCTAGTTATGATTATTTGGTAAATAAATAAATAATAATTATTATTATTATATCAGTTGCCAAGTACCCATAACATAAGCTTTGCTTAGCTTGGAACATGTGGCCTTGTATGAATTGTCCAGGATTATTATTATTCACTAGCTGTCCCGGCAAACGTTGTTTTTCCATAAAATAAAAAAAAAAATTAGGTGTGGACGACCCCTAACATTTAGGGGGATGAAAAATAGATGTTGGCCGATTCTCAGACCTACTCAATACGCTCACAAAATTTCATGAGAATCGGTCAAGCCGCTTCGGAGGAGTATGGGAACGAAAACTGTGACACGAGAATTTTATATATAAGATATTCGTTATGTTACTGTTAATGCCACACTTGTAACCGCTAAAATTCTTTGGGTGGATATATTTGAATTCTCATCATCATCATCATCATCTCAGCCTGGAAGACGTCCACTGTTGGACAAAGGCCTCCCCCAAAGATCTCCACGAGCAGTCCTGCGCTTCTCGCATGCATCGCCTTCCAGCGATCTTGACCAGACCGTCGGTCCACCTTGCTGGAGGCCTTCCCACGCTGTGTCTTCCGTCCGTGGTCGAGGACTTTATTGCCCCAACGGCCGTCTGTCCTACGAGCTATTGAATTCTTATGGGGTCAGTTTTTTTTTAACTAGAACAGCAAAAGTGTAAATAAATGATAGTAAGTAGGAACAGCGTGTTCCTCGAAAAATGTACAATTTAATTGACAACCTACTTTTGATTTTTTAAACCATCCTATATTTGTACTGCTGTCCGTCGGTCCATTTGGTAGTCTGGGCGTGATCGAGCGCGACAATGACCCTCATTAACACAGGAGAGCGTGGGTGATGATACGTACTGAGTGATGATATCAGATGATGTAATGTATTTCGGTGAAAATGTTTTATACTTGCTATATACATATAAACTGTCATCTATACATATAAATAAATTTGGAGTGTCTGTTTGTAATATTGAAATAACAGTTTTACTACATGCATATGAATATAAATACGGTACATACACCAAAATAACATATTTTTTGGATGCAGTCATTATAATTTAGAAAACAATAGCACCGGCAACAGTGAACAGAATGGGGAAATCCGATAGAATCGATATACAGGAAAAACCCATGTATCCAACATTATATCAGTTTTTCAGTATATGTTTCAGTATTAGGGTGTCGTTTTTGTTCAAATAGAATAGAATAGAAAATCATTTATTCAAATAAACTTATTTAAGCACTTTGGAATAGTCATAACATTTTTTTTATCTACCGCTCATTCGGGAAGCTGTCTCATCACAAGAAGAATGAGCAAGAAACTTGTATACATTTACAAGTCGAAACGTGTGAATTGGTAGTTTACCAACCAGCACAAATTTATTAGGGTCGAATATAAATATATAATAAGATTAAATCAATCGTAGTGATGAGAGCAGACCAGTCCTTCCCAGCAAGCAGCACGAGTTTGACGGATGAGCCAGTCATCACTGCGCTCGACCATATATTATGAAACTACAGTACAATGGTGAGTAATGGTATCCGGAGTCCTCGGATAGTTTGAAGGCCAGAAGAGCACAAATATCACATTATATGATGTACTTCTAGATGAAACTTATGTATGTATGTCCATTCATTAATTTAATCTATAGGATTTCACAATTGTTTAAAAAAATATTTATTTAAAAGAGCAACACGCAAGTTCATTGCTCGTTCTTCTTGTGATGAGTCTGCGTTGCGAATGAGTGGTAGAATTCAAATTCAAAAATCATTTATTCATGTAGGACATTTTAGCCGCTTATGAACGTCAAACTTTTACATTCTAATTTTATTTTTTTTCCCTACCGTCCAGTTCTATATACCGAACTGGACGGTTGGGATAAAAGAATAAAAGTGTGACTAATCAAAAGTGTTTATGTTAAGTTCCTTTGAATAAAGATTATTTCAATTGTATATTAAAGGTACTGAAGCGGAGGTATCTAATGTGTCTGACGAGTGAGAGGTGCTGAGGATTTTAATAAGGAAAATACGGAGATAAAATATAATGCGACTAATACAAATGACAGCGATATAAATACGAGCTGAGTTTCTTGTCAGTTCTTCTCATCTCGAAATCATTCCGAACTGACGGTATATTTAACATATCATAAGAGTCTGCAATAGACCTACGTGAATAAAGATATTTTTAATTTGAAATTTGAATTTGAATATATAATAGAAAGTAACAATAAAGATAATGTTAAAAAAATAATTATAAAATTAAAAAATAGTATAAAAACCTATCAAGAAATTCGCTACAGGTATATAACTATTTGCAATTATATACCCATTTTGAAGTTTTTCAAGATGGCAATTAATCATCACATTATTTTTCCTACAAGACAGTTACTTTAACCTAGGTACGAACAGTTTGTATGAGTAAAGAAAATCGTTGTTTTTACTACTTTCCATGCAATTTCATGACATTTTCTCACCATTTAAACCTTCCTTTGACTTCTACAATGTTTCAAAA